TCCCATGATTCACTCCTCAAGTGAGCGCAAAGGCCGTTACTGCGCCGATCCGAAGCTGGGAAGCAGGAACCTCTTTCAGGTCTCCCAAATGGGTGCAGGGTCCCAAAGCTTTGGGCTGTCCTCGATTGCTTTCCCAGGCCACAAGCAGGGAGCTGGATGGAAAGTGGAGCTGCCGGGATTAGAACCGGTGCCCATATGGGATCCTGGTGCGTTCAAGGCGAGGACTTTAGCTGCTAGGCCACGCCGCCGGACCCTGGAGGCTTAAATTTAAGGGTTGTGTGTCAGTGGGGTATTCAGAGCTTAAGAATAGATTAGCTGGATAAGGTCATCTAAAAACAGAACAGAGAACTGAGTTTGGACAAATCTCCACCAAAAAAAAAAAAAAAAGCCAGTGGAGATGTATGTCCAAAACTTGAACACCTCACCTTCCGTCACAGATTTAGTTCATTTGTGATCTTCATCTCAGTTGATGAGAACTTTACTCCTCTGTTACTCAGACCAAAAACCTCTGGATTGTTCGTGATTCCTCCTTCAGTGTCATGTACTTTTACTCATACCCTTTTCACCCTCACCACACGTCCAGTTCATAACTAAGCTGTGCTAGCTGTACCTTTAGAGTATCCAGAATCTGCTTCTTATCATTCTCCTTTTTTCTAATTAGATTGTGTTTCCTGCTATTGGTTCACTTCAGAAATGCTAGCAACACCCCAGCCTGGGCTAGCCCAAGGCTTGGAGGCAGAAACTCAATGCAGGGTGCTCACGTGGGTGGCAGAAACTCAGTTGCTCAAGTTTTCACCACTGCCTCCCGGGATTTGAATGCTGTGTCTGGAAACCCAGGTACTCTAATATCAGGCTTTGAGTATTTTAGCCCGATGCCCAAAACCTGTGCTGTTTATCTTTTGTTATTATTATTCATTTGTTTGAAAGAAAGGGAGGGAGGAAGGCTGAGAGGTCTTTCATACTCTGGTTCACTCCCAAAACAAACTGGCTGCAGCAGCCAGAACTGGACCAGTCTGGAACCAGGAACTTTTGGGGGTCTCCCACCGGAGAGCGGGGGCCTGAACACTTGGGCCATCCTCGATTTCTTTCTCAGGTTATTATGGAGCTGGATCAGAAGTGAAGCAGCCAGTACTTAAACCACCCCCCAGTAAGATGCCAGCGCTGCAGGTGATGACTTTAGCTACTATATAAGGCCACAGCACCGGCCCTGTCATTTTGTTTGTTTTGTTTTGAGTCCTCTAGGTTGTGACTCAGGTCATCGTAATCACTTAGCTACTTCTACCCATAACCTCCCTAAGATCTAGTTGTAACATGGAAACCAGAGGGCTCTTGTCAGATCCAAGTCCTATGCTGATACTTACCAGCTCAGAACCCTGTAGTAACATTACTTTCCATAAATTAAAGAGTCAAGCTTCACAGTGGCCCTTGAGCTTCTGCACCTGGCCCTCTTTCTTCAAGCCTCATTTGCTACAGTTGTGCCCTACCCTGTTCTAGCCACTCAGACCTCACTACCAGTCAACAAAGCTGACTCCCTCATCTGTCGCCATCTAAGGCAGAGTTACAGAGACATGCCTACCATCTTCTGGTTTACTCCCCAGATGGTTACAACGCCCAGAGCTGGGCCTGTCTGAAGCCAGGAGCTTCTTCGAGGTCTCCCACTTGAGTACAGTTCTTGGGCCATCCTGGCTGTTATCTCAGGCACATTGGCAGGGAAGTGATCAGAAATGAAACGGCCAGGACTTGAACTGGTGCCCATGCCGGATACCCACTATGCCATGGCATAGTGTTTCGTACACTGCTTGAGATGTCCCTAACCTGTACCAGACTGCCTAAGTTTCAATCCTGTTTCCTTTCTGCATTGCCACTTTCCCACCCTGAAATACAGGGATTTGGTCTGATTGTTCATTACTGCTTCAGGCACTTGGTCGATATTTCCTGATCACTTGTTGAATAATGAGACAGGAAAACTAAGAGTGTTGTCAGGGAAACTTTTAGAGCAAGTATTTCCAGAAGGAGGGAGTAGTCAGTTACTGAGTGTTACTGAGAGGTCAGTCAAGTAAATATAGACATGTTTCCTTTGAAGTTGGGAATGTGGATAGTCTAAGTAACCTAGTTGAAGTCAGTGGGAAGCAGCAGAAGCCAGATTGAATCTGGGAGGCATGTAAATGGAAGATAACCCTATAGCTTTGCTTCCCAAAGGGGGGCGGAGAAATGGGAATGAGGCTTTAGAGACTAGACTTTTTCATGTAATGGACGATTCTAGAACGTGTTGGCATATTGTTAGCGACGATGTAGCAGAAAGGGAGAGAGATTGAGGAGAGGACAAAGACTCTGATGTCAGTGCAGAAAGGATACTTGGAACAAACCAACAAGAAAACTAGCACTCCGGTTGGCTCTATTCCTTTTGCACACTGCTCCAGATACTGTCTCTATGCCCATGACTCCAAAGTGTGTCTCCAGCTCGGACCAGGTTCTTGAATTCAGTCTCAGAACCTATTACATATTTGTCCAAAGGTGCCCTTAAGCTAACCATTTCCAAAAGAAACCTTAAGCCTCAAAACTTCCTGTTTTATTTCATGTGATAGATCTTCTAGTTGTCCTCAGCCTTTCTCTTCTGGCACTAGATTGGTCACTGGATTCTGTCATTTTTCTGTCACTTGTTTTTTCTTTTCTTTTTTCTCTGTCACTGTTTACTAGTCCCTGGCAACATTGTGTGCAGTATTAAAAGATTGGAAATAGCCTCATTAACCATGAGAGTGAAATTAGCTGAATTTTGACACTTTCAGTCAAGCTAATGCTAGTCAGAGTAGATTTCTGGAATTTTATTATTTGTCTTCTATTTTTAAAAAATGCTGAAAGAAAGTGGTATTTTTCAAGGAAAATATGAGCAGGAGGCTTTCGCTGCTTGCTATGCCTGCATCCTATGTCAGAGTGCCAGGGTTTGGATCTGGCTCTAATTTGACTCTAGCTGGGAGGCAGCAGGCGATGGAGTCCAAGTAGTTAGATCTCTGCCACCCACCTGGAAACCCAGATGAATGCCAAGCCGTCTCTGCTGTTGCAGGCACCAAAGGGGAATGAATTAGTAGATGGGAGAGCACTCCTGTATTCTGTTTTTTCAGTCTGTCCCTTTTGATAAATAGATAACATTTTAAAATATAAAACATAATGTTTGTCTGTAAATACAGTGTGTAAAACAACTTCAGAAGCACCTGAAATAAAACTGATTGATGTTCAGAAAGAGGAAAATGGGAGGCAGGGAATAGGGATAGGATGGAGGCTTCAAGTCCACCTTTCCTACCAGCCGTGTGGGTGCCACTTAGCCTCACCACCAACCAGCCTCCTCATCTGTCGCATGGACTGCGGTGGCAGCCGTGTGAAGTAGCTCTCATTCATCTCCTGTCTGCCCACATTTGATCCATTTATCCACAGAGTTACCAGAGTGATCTTTCAAAACAAACAACTATGATGGAGTCATTCTCCTAACAAATCTAAAAACAGAGGAGTATTTTCCTTGAGGTGTTTGTGAGAGGGAAAAGGGTTAACCAGAAGACTTTTAATTTTGTTCAGTGAATTTGCAACTCTTGCATGCCAACTCTTCACCAGACCTTGAGTATTTAGCACTAAAAAGTTATATATATTGGAACTCTAGATAAGATTTTGTTGAAATGTGCTGGTGTGTGGTGCAAAGTCCAGGCACTGTGTTAGTGTGGCATGCATGGAAGATTCTTCCTGAACTAGCACTTCAGTATTCTGCTTCATGGCTTCCCTGAAGGATTTGTTCTTTAATGCCTTGGTGCCCGTTTACATTTGTTTCTCCTGCTTGGGTTGTAATGCCATATTTTTCTGTATATTTTCATCTTAGATGGCATCACTGGAATCTTTTCAGAGATCGTTCATTCTATTCTCTACTTTCCCCCAGGTTGAGTGTTCCCTTCTTTGAGCTCTTAGTACCTTATTTTGTTTTGTGATTATCATTTATTCTTGTTTGCCCACATCTCAGACTGTGAGCTCTTAGAGATGTCAGAGAATCAAAATTTACAAAGACATTCATTGTTTTAAATGCAGAGCCTGGCAATATTGCAACAAAACAAAACACTGCTTAATCTCTTCAACCATCTTTAATTCTTTCAGCAGCTGCAACCAGGGCAGCCCCAGAACCTTGAATGTTCATTCACTGGTCATCTTAGGAGGACTGCATTCGGGCTTGGTGGTTTTAAGAATATTCTGGAGAAATTTGGAAGGGCAAAGAATTTCTTTCCCTTTTCCCAGTACACATATATACCTCTCCACCTACTATAATTTGAGTCTGGAATTCTCATAATTTCACAAATTACTGTATAAAAAGGTTTTAAATTCTGATATATGAAATTAAGTCATTGATACTAAGGCAGTACTAGTTAACAGTCTGTTCTCTTACTTGGTTTAGGGCCAGTTGAGCAGAACTGCAGAGCATGAGCATCTGAAGGAAGCTTCCTGCCTGGAAAGAAGTTCTGTGAATGGCAAAGTAGGGACTCCTTTGAGGCTCCTTGACTTGAAAGTTTGTGTCAAGGAGATGTCTGTGCTGCTCTCTCATATGCCCACTTTTTAGCAGAACCATTCTGTGAGTTAGATGCAAGGAAGGCATTCTAGCAAGAATTAGTATTGCTCCTGCTTCATAAGCTGATGAGTTTTGTGTTTAATTATGTACAATAAATATGAGGGACTCTGTTTATTATCAGGAATGCTGACGTTGAGTGGGAAACATTTTAACTTTGAGTGTTCGGTCAGTCACTTAATTCAGAATCTTTTTCTGGAGTTGGTAGTAGTACCTCCTAAAACACTGCCAAGTATACCACTTAGTGCAGAGACTGTTAACTTTTATCATTTAATTGATATATTTCAGATCATTCATTGGATTATTGAGGCTACTGTTTTCCATCCTACAATGTATTACCATAGCTTATGCATACTGATGTGTTTTCTTTTGTGAATTTAAATTTGGACAATTTATTTTCTTCTAGGTTTTGGGCGGAAAGATGTAGTTGAATATTTGCTTCAGAACGGTGCAAATGTCCAAGCACGTGATGATGGAGGCCTTATTCCTCTCCATAACGCATGTTCCTTTGGTCATGCTGAAGTAGTCAATCTCCTTTTGCAACACGGTGCAGATCCAAATGCACGAGATAATTGGAATTATACTCCTCTTCATGAAGCCGCAATTAAAGGAAAGATTGATGTTTGCATTGGTGAGACCACTTTTTTTGAATTATCCTGAAAGAAAATTTGTTTATTTAACGTTTCTGGAGAGCCAAGGTATAACACCAGGATCAGTGTGTCTGGTGAGATCATCATAGCAGCTGACAGGAGCACACGTGAGAGGGAGAGGTCACATGCCCCAACAGGAGCTCAGCTTGAATCCCATAGGCCTCCTGAGACCATCCTCTCAGTGACCTCAGGACCTCCTCCAGCTGCCTTCCAGGTCTGCATTAACAGGAAGACTGGAATTAGGAATGTGAGCCAGGGAGCAGACCCAGGTTCTCCTATGTGGGATGATAGCATCCTAACCACTAAGCCACACACCCACTCCACCTCCATCTGTAAAGATCTACTGCTTGCTAGTATCGCCACCCTATGGATCAGATTTCCAGCAGATGAACTTTGAGCCAAAGTTCTGTAGCAATAATTAGTCTGTCTCTAAATTGATAATCTGGGCCCTGCACTGATAATAAAGTCCTCACCTTGAATGCACTGGGATCGCATATGAGTACCGTTCGTGTCCCTGCGACCCTGCTTCCCATCCAGATCCCTGCTTGTGGCCTGGGGGAAAGCAGTCGAGGATGGCCCAAAGTGTTGGGACCCTACACCTGCTTGGGATACCTGCAAGAAGCTCCTTCAGGTCAGCTCAGCTCTGGCCGTTGCAGTCACTTGGGGAGTGAATTAATAGATGCTCTTCCTGTCTCTCCTCCTTTTTGTGTATATCTGACTTTGCAATAAAAATGATCTTTAAGAAAACCAAATTGGTAATCTGAGGATATTGGATAAGTTTGTGAGAAAGTGGAATTTTAAAAATAACTTTGCAAATTTTTTTTTAATCCATACGTTATTTTTTCCTAGTAACATTTGCATAGGCTTTTTGAATGCCTTTTGTACTACTAAATTTCCAGAGGCTGAACTGAAGAACACTCCATGATTTAATCTAATCACTTTTGGGGAGGAGTGTCTTTGTAACATTGAGTTTAAATGTCTTTGGAAAATAGAGGACAAAGTTCTTGTTCTCTGGAAACTTGCATTCTCTTTGGAGATAAGATACACAAAGAACCGGATATAGACATAGTGGAATTAAGCACAGCTTGATACAGATTAATGAGTGCAGTGACTTGACTGGGGTCAGTCAGGGCTTGACTTCCTGGGCTCTTACCAGGAGGTAATAGAAGCTTCAAATGGTAAGTAGATAAGAAGAGAGCTCTTGGACCCTGCACAGTGGCCATTCTGTGCACATGCCAGGATTCTGTATGGGCGCCAGTTTTAATCCCAGCAGCCCCACATCCCATCCAGCTCCCTGCTTGTGAACTAGGAACAGATCTTCCCCCCCTCTCCTCTCTATATATCTGAATTTCCAATAAAATTAAGTTAATCTTTTTTTAAAAAGAAAGAGTTCTTTATAAGGAACTTTACATTTGGGGTTAGGGAGCTTGATGTTAATGTGTAGGCAACTGTGGAATAGTAAAGATTTTTGAGAAGGGGATGGCTGTGTGGTGTGATGATAGGAAGAGGAGGAGTAATCTAGTTAGGGACCAGGCTGAATGGATGGCAAAAGGAAGACCAGTTAAGAGGCTGTAACGCGAGTGGGAATTGCAGCAGGCATAGGACCTAGGGTCGTTAAAAATGGAAACAGGGAAAAAAAGAGACATTTCAAGAAAAAATTATCAGATCACTCATTCAGAACACTTGAACTTGTTTGAGGAAGTTTGAAAGATTTATCACTGATAGAAAATTGTGAAAAGTCTGTTTTGAGAGGTTTCATTAACTTGGTGTTTACTTTTCACATCCTAGCAAACTCAAGAATTTTTAATTTATTGACATTTTATTCCATTATGTCCTTAAACACAGTGGGAAAATCCCAGATTTCAAGGACTTGATAAAAACCATAAAATATCTGCATAAATTTTAATCAATAATAACTTAAATGTAAATTGAGTATTTTGGATATATTGGATTGAAATAATCTAAGATTAAACTGCTCAAGTTTTGTTTGTAGCTGTTAGAAAATTCTGAATTACATGTGTGGGTCATGTTTAATTTTTGCTGAAGACTGCAATGATTGATAGTAGACCAAAATGGAAAGATGAAAAGTAATCATATCAAAGAACAGGCGCTTAGCTTCCTCTCTTCCTGTGTTTGTCTATCTCCACTCAGGTCCTTGTGAACGGAAAAAGTGTGCTGGCATATTCTAGTGCAATGCAGAGCACAACACATCTCTTTGTGTGTGTCTTAGGTTACAGTGTCCCAGCTTTGGTTTGGCATTTAACTCTACAGAGTGTGTTTGGATTTTAGATCAACATCTAATGTAATTAACATTAAAAAAAACTACTCACCTGGCAATCCTAGCCCAGTATCCCTCCATTAAGTTTTTTTTTTTTAAGATTTATTTATTTTTATTACAAAGTCAGATATACAGAGAGGAGGAGAAATAGAAAGATCTCCGTCCAGTGATTCACTCCCCAAGTGACTGCAACGACCAGTGCTGCGCCAGTCTGAAGCCAGGAGCCAAGAGCTCTTCCAGGTCTCCCATGTGGGTGCAGGGTCCCAAGGCTTTGGGCTGTGCTTGACTGCTTTCCCAGGCTACAAGCAGGGAGCTGGATGGGAAACGGGACTGCCGGGATTGGAACCGGCCCCCACATGGAATCCCAGCACATTCAAGGTGAGGACCTGAGCTGCTAGACCATCACACTGGGACTCATTAAGATTTTTTAAAATTGTCATGGTAAATGCCTTGATTTTGGCGTACACCTGCCTATTCCACTAAGACTGGTTTGTCTTGTTGCTAAAGTGCCGTATATCATATCACTAATAGCCCAAGTCTATTGATTTGCTTTCTTGGCTTGTTTGAAGGTTAAGGACTTGATGACTAATAGCCTTAATAGAATTTATTGAAAGCGTAAAAAAGCTATCCAGTTTTTAATTTTAAAAATGTACCTGTGTCATCTCAAAAAAAACTACACATCTCCATTTTTGGGCTTCTAAGTCTTTAGGTATTTTATTTCTGCGGTGATAGAGCGTTCTTATTTGAGCCTGGTCACTTGTCACCAGCTGTGTAAATACCAAAGGAAATCTAACACTGAATTGAGGGTAAACTTAATTAACATATCTCTAAGAGTTAAATAATGGGATCGTTCATGTTTAAAGTATTGTAACATTTACCCATACTAGCAAGATAGAAAATATCTAAAAAAGAAACAAAGACTTGAAAACCAGAGTTCTTGAGAAAAATATTTACTAAAATCAGATTATTAGGATTACCATTTTGAAAGGTAGTGTTGCCGTTTTGCAGTGCTCTTACAGCATGGAGCTGAGCCAACGATTCGGAATACCGATGGAAGGACAGCACTGGATTTAGCAGACCCATCTGCCAAAGCAGTGCTGACTGGTAAGTCTATTACCTTTGATTATCCCAGGAAGAATATGCAGAACAATGTTACTGTGTAGTCAGTCCGCGTGTTAATGGCTACTGACCTCAGCTAGATTTAAGAAGTCAGTTCAGCTGTTCTCTTCTACACAGGTCATTCTTAAAGAGAAAATTTTGTTTTCAAATTGGTATTAAATTCTTAAGCAGAGGACTAATTTTTTGCTATTATGTATTCAGAATATTTTTAGATATCCCTGAATTTTTCAGGTAACTGATATTCACCCCATTCTATATTTTCACTCTCCATTTGTTTCTCTTAAAAAAAATTGATCATTTTGACAGAATTATTTCAGAAACTACCAGCTAGTCTCATTTCAAAACAGAATTCCTTGTGCATTGTTTTGGAACCTCAAAGAGTGGTAATTATTGTGCTCAGTTTTAACATACGGATGTCTTTGGAACCTGTTGAGGTATATGATGCTGTAGTTGGACTGACAAGCTTTTGTGAGTTCTGTCTAATTGCCATGTGCTCTCCTTTGGCAGTGTGTGCTTTCTGTTGACGTGCCTCTGCCATCCTGTTTACCAGATTTTTTTTTTTCTTGTACGATGACCATTAGAGTGTTGTTCTAAAGGTAGGGGCTTGAGGAATCTGTTGGGAACTTTGTAACTTGGACTTTGTGATGTTCGTTGTGACATAACTGAGAACATTTAGATTAGTCCTTGCAAAGATTTCCAGACGTATGAGCTGTTTTAGTGATTATCAATTCATTGTACATTTCCTTCTTCTCTTCTGTATTATTAGTTTCTTTTAATCTTCCCAAATGATCATGGGCACGGAATGCCTCGGCCTTCAGCACCCAATTGTGGACGACAGTTCAGAGAGTTGTCTCAGCAAATTATTGCATTAATTTAAATTTTATTATAAATTATAGTTAATCTTAAAGCAGTATTAAATAAGAAGTGTGAATACTGCAAGATGATAATAAGTATGTCCAATTAGTGACACTATAGGGTCTTTCTGTAATGGTGGCATATTGAGTTTTGTTTAAGTTTGATTTTAAATGAAGTTGTAGATACACCTTTTTGTCATTTAGGAAAAAAAAAATCTCATGAGTAGTCTACCACCCAAAGCAAACTTTGTTTATAACATGTTGGTACATTTCCTTCAGGGCTTTTCCTTTTCCGGATGCTTTTGTGTAGTTGTCATACTTCATTATGTAATGTTGAATCATTGTTTTTTTCCACTTTGATAGCATAGGTGCTTTGTGTTGCAACATAACTTGTAAAACTGCGAAATATTCTCTATTGACAAGTTGTTTATTGGGAACTTAATTTTCAAATTTAAGTACAGTTCAGTGGAAATCTTAATTTCAACTCTTTTTTAATTCACAGGTGAATATAAGAAAGATGAACTATTGGAAAGCGCAAGGTATGTATTATAAGCATGAACCATGAATACTTCACCACTTAAAATTTTTTATACTAAACTTTCTAAAAGAATAATATTTTGAAATGGCCTCAGTACATATCCCTACAGAGAATGATGAAAGATAACAGGTTTCTAATACATATTTATTTTTTGTAGGAGTGGCAATGAAGAAAAAATGATGGCTCTGCTTACACCATTAAATGTCAACTGCCATGCAAGTGATGGCAGAAAGGTAATTCTTTTTGCAATTGGGTTTCTGCTCTGATAGTTCAAAGATGCATTTATCTTATAAATGAAAATGTATTTGAACAGGCAGCTGATGTTTTCTTTTAAACTGAGGAGCATTGGATATTTCAGACATCATTCACAGGGTTTTTACCTGCTCAGACCTTTTATTCATTCATTCATTCATTGAGTTTCACTAATTTATTTGGTTAATATTGCAGTCAACTCCGTTGCATTTGGCAGCAGGATACAATAGAGTAAAGATTGTACAGCTGTTACTGCAACATGGAGCTGATGTTCATGCTAAAGATAAAGGGTAAGCATTTAAATGAAAATGAGGACTATTTACGTGTCGGCTATACTTACAACAAGCTTTGTAACCTTATAAAAGTGGTATGTTTTGCCAACTGGAATTAATATATAGTGAGCTTTTTATGCGAGGCAGGTTGCGTAATAATGAGGACACAGAAAATTTTAAACATAGAATTCATGAAGTTTGTGCTTTTGAGGAGATGAAAAGATACTCCCACTGCTTAACTTCTGATCCAGCTCCTGCTTATGCGCCTGGGAAGGCAGCCGGGGATAGCACAAATGCTTTGGCCTGTGACACTCAGGTGGAAACCAGGATGGAGTTCCAGGCTCCTGGCTTTGGCTTGACCCAGGCCTGGCCATTGTCACCATTTGGAAAGTAAACTACTGGATGGGAGATTGACTGTTCTTTCTCTGCCTCTCACCTTTAAAATAAATACATCTTTTAAAAAAGATAATTAAGAAACTGAGGCCATCTCTATCAAGTGCCAAGTAATAAATAGAATACTACAGGTATTCTCAGGAGGGGACTTACAATGCAGTGGTGGCTGAATCCTTCAAAAAGAAATGTTATTTGGCCTGGAACATATAGACAGATCACAAGAAAGCAAAGAGTGAGACTGGTATTGTGACTCAGTGGGTTAAGCTGCCATCTGTAATACTAGCATTGCATGTGAAGCCCAGTTTGAGTTCTGGCTGCTTTCCTTATCCAGCTCCCTACTCATGTACCTGGGAAAGCAGTAAAGGATGGCACAGTACTTGGGCTGCTTCACCTACATGGAAGACCTAGGTGGCCTTCCAGGCACAGGGCTTGGACATGGCCCAGCTCTGGCCATCACAGCCGTTAGAAGAAGCCAGCAGGTGGAAGATAATTCTGTCTCTTTCTCCCTCCCTCCCTCTTTCTCCCTGCCTCTCGCCTCCCCATCTAGCTCCCTCTTTTCCTGGCTCCCTCTCTCTTTCCTTCTTCTCTTCTCCCCCTTGCTCTGTAATTCTGCCTTCCAAATAAATTTTTTAAAAGATGAAAGCAGAGTTTAGAGAATATCATTCTGCAAGAAACCTGGTATAAGTGAAGGTGCTGAAGTAGGTTTAAGAAACAGTGACAGGGACTAGTGTTTGGTACTTGTGGTTTCCCATGTCCTATATCAAGAGTGGAGGCTAATTTTGTTAGGGGACAAATACAGTAGTCCCGAAGGAAATGGAAGTAGCATCGTAGGGGAGAGACTTGATTTGAAAGAGACTTAGTTTGCATTCGAATGGGTATTATTAAACTTTATACATTTTTATTAGAAGAGCACATAGCTATTCACTATGTAAATTTGAATTTATTAGAATTAAATTCTAATTTTTATGTTTCCTAGGACCTAGAGGGTCTATAGTAACACAAGCTTTTGCTTCCTCTACTTTTAGTGATCTGGTGCCATTACACAATGCTTGTTCTTATGGTCATTATGAGGTGACTGAACTTCTGGTCAAGGTTAGTTCTCTTGTATCTTTTTAATTATTTCTGTAATTGTATAAAATTATTTGGAATGCATGATATGTATTTTTTCTGTGTTCTTGGTACTTGATAAAGTTAGAAGTGTTTATAATCATAAAATATTGCAAATTGATAGGTGAGCTTCTGACTGGCAATTTATGAGACACTTTTTCCATTGGGAGAAATGTGTTCTCTTTGCTGAATAATTGGCTTCAAAAGGAAATTTGGAGAACATAGCTTTTCTAAGCTTCCATGATGGTAAATCGCATAATACTGGCAATTCTAATTTCTCTTAAATTTAAACATTCAGTACCTTGTTTCCTCCCCAGCATGGTGCATGTGTAAATGCAATGGACTTGTGGCAATTCACTCCTCTTCACGAAGCAGCTTCTAAGAACAGAGTTGAAGTGTGTTCTCTTCTCTTAAGTTATGGTGCAGATCCAACACTGCTAAACTGCCACAATAAAAGTGCTATAGATTTGGCTCCCACACCACAGTTAAAAGAAAGATTATCATGTGAGTATAAAAAATATGATTGTTCATTGAGTGATATTCTGATATCAATAAAAGGGTTTTTTTGGGTTTTTTTGTTTGTTTTTTACGGATTTAGAAATGCTAAAATGAACTTATTTTCCTTAACCATGACTATCTGCTCTTTTTAAAGTAACATATTTAATAATTTGGAAACTTGTTTTCTGCTCTAGAGATTGTTAAATGTATTAGTTTTTTCAAGTCAGATAACCCAGGCTGTGTGTATAAACTACAGATGTCATGCTTTTGAAATGAAAGTATCTAGGCTTATCGTTGCTAAGTCTTGGTAGTTAACCTTCTGTGAAGTAAGATTGCTTTCTTCACTTCCTTGTAAGTGGCAGGATGCCATATGGGTGCCAGTTCTTGTCCAGGTTGCTCCACTTCCCCATCCAGCTCCTTGCTTATGGCCTGGAAAAGTAGTAGAAGATGGGCCAAAGCCTTGTGACCTTGCACCCAAATGGGAGACTCTGAAGAATTTCCTAGCTTCAGATCAGCTCAGCTCTGGCCTTTGCAGCCACTTGAGGAATGAACCAGTAGTTGGGAGATCTTTCACCTTCTCTCTATAAATCTGCCTTTCCAATGAGAATAAATAAATCTTTTTTTAAAAGTTGTTTTTTTATAAACTTAATCCCTGTGATTTTCTGATAAGTATAAACAAAACCTACTATTGCTATTGTATCAGTGCTTGGATTGTCATGACCCTTTGTTTTATCTTGTTAAGATTTGTTTGAAAAAACAAGAGTTACAGAGAGAGGGAGGGATACAGTTGTTCCGTTGCTGGTTTATTCCCCAAATGACTGCTGTGAATAGGAATGGGCCAGGCCAAAGCAAGGAGCTTGATAAATGTCTGACACAGGGGTTGCAGATTCCCAAATACCTGGGCCATTAGAAGACAGCTGGATCAAAAGTGGAGCAGCTGGGACTTGTGGGATGCCAGGGTTGCAGGCAGCAGCTTTACCAGCTACACAACAATGCTGGTACCTGATTTATTCATTCATTCACGCATTCATCTCTGAAAAAAGTGGCATGCTTTGGAAAATTCTTAGAATGATTTGGTCTGTGAATATATGGGAATGTTTCCAATACTCTATAGACCAGTCGTTAATTAGAGCAGAACATGAGTCTGCCTTAGTTAACCCTTGGGTACAACTGAGGATGAATGGAAGCATAACTGAGAGAAACTGGAAACTGTTTTCAGGGGTTATGCTTAGAGAATGACTGGAGGCTCAATTTAGATGTTTTCGCAGATTGTTTTTTATTAAATTCAATACCAGGTATCTCTTACTAGATAATCTATGTTAATTTGGTGATTCTTACTTAGATTTAAATACTTGTGGTTCATTTAGATGAATTTAAAGGCCACTCATTGCTGCAAGCTGCACGAGAAGCTGATGTGACAAGAATCAAAAAACATCTGTCCTTAGAAATGGTGAACTTCAAGCATCCTCAGACACATGAGACAGCATTGGTAATGTTTTTCACATTTACGTTTTAAGATACAATAACCAAAAACTTGCCATACTAATCAAAATGTACTTTTAGTAACGGCATTGTTGAAATTTTAATTTTTAAAATTAATACCTATACATACAGAGGAAAAATATAGGTAGCTCAAGGAAGACAGTACTTTGTGTTATTGGTTTAAGTATCCATCCAGAAAAAAAAGTGTATTCATGTACTAGCATGTAGTAATTATGTCTTTTTCATCTTTTGTTATAGATGATATACTTGCTATGGGAGATATAAAAGTTAAGCTTACTATAAGAAATTTGGAATTCACAAAAAATGATTTTTAAAAAAATCACAATCCAAATTTTTTTTGAAGATTTTCTTTATTTTCATTACAAAATCAGATATACAGAGAGGAGGAGAGACAGAGAGGAAGATCTTCCGTCTGATGATTCACTCCCCAAGTGAGCTCTACGGCCGGTGCTGTGCCAATCCGAAACCAGGATCCAGGAACCTCTTCCGGGTATCCCACATGGGTGCAGGGTTCCAAGGCCTTGGGCTGACTTGACTGCTTTCCCAGGCCACAAGAAGGGAGCTGACCGGGAAGTGGAGCTGCTGGGATTAGAACTGGCACCCATATGGGATCCCGGGGCGTTCAAGTCAAGGACTTTAGCCACTAGGCCACGCCGCCAGGCCCCACAATCCAAATTTTAAAGAAAATTGCACATGCTTAGTATATTTCTTCCTGTTTTTGTACTTTTTTTCTTTCCAAATTATATCTCTGCAGTGTGAGCAAAGTCTTTTAGAAGCTGCTTCGCTAATACTTAGGGGCTACTTCCCTGTGGAGCTATAGCGTAATGCATATGGGTAGTAAAGTTCAAGGCAGTGCAGTCACCAAGTAGGAACTAGCAAGGGCGGTGGATGAAAGACGGGAGAGGGATGGTGGTCAGAGGCCAGGTGAAAGGTAGAAATTTAAACAGAAAAAGTAAGTCCTCTTGTATGGATTGTCAGTTGTAAGTGGAAAAAAGTAAGGAAGCTAACGTGTTTAGGAGCAGACATAGCTTTACTTAGTTAACATGGTGACTTTCTTTCCTTGTGCTATAAACTATGAACATTATATAGGAACACACACACATGTTTTTAACCCTTTTACTAATTCACTTGTAAACATCATTCCAGGAAAAGAAAAATAACAACTGTAAACTATTAAGAAATGATAGCAAAAAATAAAATCACAACAGCATTAGTAGTACCAAGAAACTTGAAAGGGTTTATGTGGAAATTTTATACCTTGAGACACTAATATGGTAGTCTCCCTCTTATCTATAGGGAATGTCCCAGAGTTCCCAGTGGGTTCCTTCTTATGGATAGTACCAACTGTGGATATACTGTGTTTTTTCTTATACAAACATACGTATAATAAAGTTTAATTGTAAATTAAACAAAATAAGAGATTAACAGCAGTAATTTGCCATAGAACTTCATACCCTTAGTGTGATTTTTTGTTTGTTTGTTTCTTTAGTAAGGCAGTACTTTTTACCTTGTACTACAGTGACGCACCTCAGAGCTTCTCTCTGGCATATCTGAGTTATCAGCATCTCAGCTCGTGTCCTTTGAGGTTGTGATTCAGTACAATAAGAGTTACTTGAAGCAAAGCACTGCACTACCTTGACTGTAGATCTGATAGCCAGGACAGCTATGGGCCAGGACTGAGTGGGGGAGACAATGGGGCAAGTAGCATGGAGCACAAACAGCATGACTACACTGAACAAAAGATTGATTCACAAAATTCCTAGACACAATGGCATAAGATTTTATCATATCTATCAAAACGGTACATAATTTAAAACTCCTGAAATGTTTATTTCTAGAACTTTCATTTAATATTTTTTGACCAGAGTTAGCTACCAGTAACTGAAACCACAGTGGCCAGAGCTGAGCCGATCAAAGCCAGGGACTTGCTCTGGGTCTCCCACGTGGGTGCAGGATCCCAAGGCGTTGGGCCATCCTCCACTGCTTTCCCAGGCCACAAGCAGGGAGCTGGATGGAAAGTGGAGCAGCCAGACACGAACCGGTGCCCATATGAGATCTTGGGCATAATGCCCCAGGCCATGGGACAGTTTTAGTAAACAATATCCATACCTTTTATTCCATGGGCTCTCAGTTGCAATTTGAACATAAAAATTGACTTAGTAAGTTATCACTAAGTCATTATTGGACACTTGTGAATGAGTATCATTTTGCACTTCAGGGATTCATAGATATGAGCCATGAACACAAAATTTTTCCAAGATTTGTAACTAGCAAGACTATGCTTATGTAAAGATGCTAAAGCCCCAAACTGCAGAGCATATCTTTTCCTATCACGGATTTTACTGAATAAGAAATCCAAGCTCTGGGCCTGGTGCTGTGGCTAAAGTCCTCGCCTTGAGTGCACCGGGATCCCATATGGGCACCGGTTCTAATCCCGGCAGCCCCACATCCCATCCAGCTCCCTGCTGTGGCCTGGGAAAGCAGTCAAGGATGACCCAAGGCTTTGAGACCCTGCACTCATGTGGGAGACTTGAAAGAAGCTCCTGGCTCCTGGCTTCAGGTCGGTGTAGCTCTGGTCATTGAGGCTGCTTGGGGAGTGAATCATTGGACGGAAGATTGTCTGATTATGTCTCCTCCTCTGTGTATATCTGACTTTGCAATAAAAGTAAATAAATCTTAGAAAAGAAATCCAAGCTCTTCTGGAGCCATTGGTTCAGAGAGACAGATACTGCTCAGCTTAGCAGCTATTTCATCAGTCCTGTTAAACAAAATTGAAAGCTAACCAGTATTTTGTCAATTCCACTCAAGTAAAGAATCACCAACTTTGGGTGTTTTCAGGCATATTAGAAACACAATGTTTTGAGAGTAATATTGGTCACATTGGTATTTTTAACTATTTTAATTGCAAAGGCAGATTTACAGAGTAAAGGAGACACAAAGAAAAAATCTTCATCCTCTGATTCACTCCCCAAGTGGCTGCAGTGGCCAGAGCTGATTGATCCAAAACCAGGAGCCCAGAGCTTCTTCTAGGTCTCCCACTTAGGTGCAGGGTCCCAAGGCTTTGGGCTGTCCTTGACTGCTTTCCCAGGCCACAAGCAGGGAGCTGGATGGGAAGTGGAGCAGCTGGGACCCAGGACAAAAACTGGCACCAATATGGGGAAACAGCGCCCATATGGGATCCCACCGCTTGCAAGGCTTTAGCTACTAGGCTACTGCACTGGGCCTGTCACATTAGTTTTCACATTGGTATGGCTTGTTTCGAAGATGTGGAACAGCTATAAAGTTTGATGAAAATATTTAATAACAAATATCTGAATAGATGAAATTTTCAGGCCCTGTCAGAATTTGATAACTGTTATGCATTCCATTCACTGCCGAATCTTTCAGTTAGATAAAATCTTTCAAGTTAGATTAAAAAATGAAACAGAAGTTAAATAACTCCTTTGTTATTCTTGATTGGAAATAGTGTTGTTAAATAAAACTCAGTTCTGTTCAGTCTTCATTAATGCCATAATTTAAATCATTTAGCATTGTGCTGCTGCATCTCCATATCCCAAAAGAAAGCAGATATGTGAACTGTTACTGAGAAAAGGAGCCAACATCAATGAAAAGACTAAGGAGTAAGTGTATTTTCAATAACGAAATATTACTGATGTTTTATCTTCTGGGAGATAATGCTCATTGTCCATTACTGTTTTCTTTTTTAGATTCTTGACTCCTCTGCACGTTGCATCTGAGAAAGCTCATAATGATGTTGTTGAAGTGGTGGTGAAACATGAAGCAAAGGTATGCTTCCTTTCCGGTCGTTTTTGATAATGCAGTGAGTTATTGTGTGTGTCCAGGACTTTTAGCAGTTTACACTCCAGAATATCTCCAGTTAGGCGTACTAATCTGGTCTGATTTTCTTGTCATCATTTTTTACTTGTCTCTTGTATTCTTTGGTTACCTTGATAATTCCTGTTACTTACTCCAGGTAAATGATTCAAATAATTGAACTGAAAACATCAGATTGCCGCACTGCTGTTTAATCTCTTCTTCAGTTGCCATATGTGTGCATTGCATTGTATTCATCAGCTTAATATGTTTTCACCAAAAACCATCCTTTATTAACCATGAGCTTTTAAAAATATTATTTAGAAACATTTACACGTAGTGTGTCAGATTTAAAAGATGAAAATCTCCCCCTCCCCCAATTGCAGTTTTCAATTGTAGATCCTTAGATTCATCAAGCAGAATCTTGACTAGAAATTTAGTATATTAATAGAGAAAGAATGCAGCTGCCCTTTCTTACCTGAGCTTCACTCATTGGTTTTTTTCTTACCTGTCCTTCCTTGAGTTTGTACTCACTGAGTTCTCCAGTTTATTTTTGTGTTCTTTCTCAGAATCCTTAATCTCTGACTTGGGGAAATTCTTGATAATGTATAATCTTGATCTTTCTTCTTGTAAGTTCTCAGATAAAACAGTTTATTTTCCCTTGACTGCTTGGCGTATTTCTATGTTTCTGTGTTCTGTCACTTTTTATTAGTTGAGTCCCACAATTTTCGAAGTGAATGTTTTACACGTTTCAGTCAGTTATTTCAGCAAATTATTTAACTCACCTGACTAACTAAAATTGTTTTTCCAGTTTCTGTAAGCATGGAGATTAGCTGCTCAAAGTCTAGTCATTGAGATTTTGAAACTATATTCCTGTTAGAATATTCCCTGATTTGATTTCGGCTAATATGTCAAAATACTCGAATAGCCTAAGGATTGACTACAGACAACCTTATTTCTCAGTTATATTTTGAATAATTGTTTTTGGTGGTAAGACAGGGTAGAAATGAGATGGGGGAGTCAGTCCTAATGGGTAATTTTTGTGGAGAATTTCAAAAGTAAAATAAGGTTCAAAAAAATGTTTTGAGAAGACGTATTCGTTTTTATTGAAAAGGCAGATCTACAGAAAGGAGAATCATATAAAAATATCTTCTGTGTGCTAGTTCACTCCCCAAGCAGCCACAACAGCTGAAATAGAGCCCATCCAAAACCAGGATCTAGTAACTTCTTGCTGGTCTCCCACATGGGTTCAGGATCCCATGGCTTTGGGCCATCCTCCACTGCTTTCAAAACAGAAGCTGGATTGGAAGTGGAGCAGCTGTGACACGAGCAGGCAGCCACACAGGATGTTGGCTGTTGGAGGCGAAGAATTAGCCAATTGAGCCATCACGTTGGCCCCTTCAGTTTTTCTTTAGATGAAAAATTTACATGCAGTGAGACACATGTGCATTTGCTGAACTTTGACTATTGTATACACCTATGTCAATAAAAATAATAACAAGGAATGCAACTTTAACCCACGCCAGAGACAACTGTTTCAATGTCCTCAAGAAGTAACTGTTTGAAATTTTTCTGACATAAATTATACGTGTTTTTCCCGAGACTTACACGGAATCAGATATTGAGTTCCTTTTGTGTGACCTTTTTCATCTCAGGATAATGTCCTAGAAATTCATCCACATAATAGTTTTTTCATTTTATTGCTTTTGAATTTGTTGTGTGACTAGATTGTGTATTTTACTTGATAAAGTAGAAGACTAAATCCATAGAGGTTTTAATGCTAGTTTGTATCTAGGTTTCTTGTTGATTATTAATTATCTTGAAGCTAGTGTAGATATTTCTAGATGCAAAAACCCATAAAAGTACAAGTATTCAATTTCCCTAGGCAATTCTAGCTCTAAGTATGTTAGGTTTATGAATGCTTTAATAGTAAACATGATTTTGTTTAATTCCACATTTTTTGTTTCTTTTGAGAGAGAAAGAAAGGGAAAGGGGAAGAGAAAATTCCAGTCTGCGGGTTCATTCTACAAACTGCCACAAGAGCCTGGGCTGGGCCAGGCCAGGCGACAGCCATGAGCTGGAATCCCAGTCCGGATCTCCCTCATGAGTGGCAGGAGCCTGGCTACGCGAACTGTCGTTGTGGGCTCCCTGGAACTGCATTAATCCCAGGCTGGAGTCAAGGCCCCGAGCCCAGTTCAGATCTAGGCACACCAATATAGGACACAGGGAGCCTGCCCTAACCGCTCACATTTTTAAACTAAATATGGGTCATCTTTCTAACGTCAGCCTTTATGAATTACTGAATTTATGTTTATATTTGAGAAGAACAATACTTGTTTGGCACTGGATAATGGACTTCACAGAAGAATAATTGATATAAGAATAATAGACACTTGAATCAGCAAGCATTAAATACATGATGTTTTTAAATTGAGAATGCCTATCTAATATCAACTTTTCCTGCCTTGTTAAGGTCAACGCTCTGGATAATCTTGGTCAGACTTCTCTACACAGAGCTGCACACTGCGGTCATCTGCAAACCTGCCGTCTCCTTTTGAGCTATGGCTGTGATCCTAACATCATATCCCTCCAGGGCTTTACTGCCTTGCAGATGGGAAATGAGAACGTGCAGCAACTGCTTCAAGGTAGTCAAAGGTTTCTGTGACATTAAATTTTTTAACTTAACCTTTATAATTTCTCACATCAAGTGTTACTTGTAAGATTTGGTAATAAGAAAATGGGGGAGAAATTTTTGACTGTTTCTTCATTCATTTAATTCTGCATCAACTCATACTCAATTCTCAGATGCTTACAAGATTATAATTATCCCTCTTGGTATCTGTCAAAACTGAATTATGACTGCTTTCAAGATTCTCTTTACTTCCTCTTTTCCCACCCATTTGTTTCTGTGTCAGTTTTGGGGATAATACTAGTCCTATTTGGTTGTTTAGTGATAGAAGTTATAATCATGCCAGTTTTATGACAAGTATTATTACATATAGCTTCACTTACCTTTCAAATAGTTTATTAGAATCAATCGTTGAAGTGGCATTTACACATCTAAAAGTATAATTGTCAAATTATCTTTGAAAAAAATTCCACTGTTTTTATACTCCTGCTAAGAGTGTGTGAAGGGCCTAGCATGGTAGCCTAGCAGATAAAATCCTCGCCTTGCCTGCGCCAGGATCCCATATGGGCACCAGCTCTAATCCCAACAGCCCCGCTTCCCATCCAGCTCCCTGCTCGTGGCCTTTTGAAAGCAATCGAGGATGGCCCAAAGCCTTGGGACTGTGCACCCGTGTTGGAGACCCAAAAAAGGCTCCAGGCTCCTGGCTTCAGATCAGCTCAGCCCCTAGCTGTTGTGGCCACTTGGGGAGTGAGTCATCAGACGTAGATCTTCTTCTCTATCTCTCCTTCTGTTTATATATCTGACTTCCAAATAAAAATAAATATATATTTTTTAACAATAAGAGTATATGAAAGGACCTCTTTCCTTGTCATATTTTCCATGGGTGGGTGTGCATGTGTGAATTCTAGAAGTGATTGATGTTTTTTTAATGCAAACTATAGATACATGGTCAGTGTAAACCCTGCATCCATTTTCTCTTTTAGCACTAGTAGATGGGGGTGGGAAGAAGACTTAATTCCTGTTTCTTATGAGTAAGTTAGGACATAATTTTAATACTTATTAACCAGTTCTCTTTTCTGTGTAAATTGTTCATATTCTCTTCCCATTTCTTGGGAGTTTTTCTAGGTTTTCCAAGAATGCCTTCTGCATTAAAATCAAACTTTAAGATGCTGCATTTTGCAATTCAGCTTTTCTGTTTGTTCTTCACCTTGCTGCTTTATGCAGTACTAAACAGAAATTAACAACTGTCCCCGTCTTCTTTCTAGAGGGTATTCCGTTGGGGAATTCAGAGGCTGACAGACAGTTGCTGGAAGCTGCAAAAGCTGGAGATGTAGAAACTGTGAAAGTAAGATACTATGCTTGTATCTTTGTTAACTTTTGCTGTTTTATCTTGTCGTTGATCAATTATTTTGTACTGTTAAAGAGCCTGGTTTATTTCTGTGGGCCATGATTATACAGATGAGCAATATAACCTAATTCTTCTATGCCTGAAAGAATTGTTGATTAATAAAATGCATGTCAATAAATAGCATGTTCCCAAATTATATACACTTCACATAACAAATGGGATTTGTTTAAAGAATCTATTTTTTTAAATAAAATTTATCAAATTGTTCGCTGTTGTTTAACTGACAAATGAGAAAAAAGTGAGACTGCTATGTCACTTCAATCCAGATATTTGAACTTTTTTTCTTTTCATTTCTTGCCTTCTGTTACTGTTTTTTGTAGTGTGAGAATTTCGTGTTACCGCAGTCAGAGCCACTGTCCCCTCATGTTTAATTCATTGACCTTTACGTGGAAATATGTGTAATGTCTTACTGCACGAACCAGAACTTAGTTTTCCCACAGAAATTGTATATTCAAGTTAAGTAGCTCAAACACTTCACATTTTGAAAAAGCAAGACTGTTTTTACAATTCAATTAATATAAAATACAATTTTGCACACCTTTTTTCATGGGTCAAATCTTCAGTAATGTAATTATGTTACTTTAATTTTCATAGTTAGAAAAACAGTTTTTTAGACTATCTCACATCAGTGCTGGTTGTTTTAAGAAGACGCTGACATAAATTTTAGGAAGCCTTATTTGTAAAGCTTGCCGCAGGGAGCCCTTTGCTCTCACTCTGTCAGAGGTATCACATTTAAAAGTCCTATCATTGTTTCCTGTTTTATCTGCACCACTAGTATACACATCTCAAAAAACAAAAATTTAAATAAAAATACTATAACACTTTTATTAATTAGCATGATTCATTCTTAATTGTTCTCATTCCCTCATGTTAGAGACTGACAGAATATTAAAAAGAGGATTTTGTTTCCATTACTTCTGACTTACGGAAAAAACATAGCTTGAATTAAGGGTTATAAACTAATTATTTTAAGAGAAATGAAGAAAGTTTTTAACAGTTAAAGGTTAATTAGCCGATTGTTGTGAGGGAGAACAGGTAAAGTTAAATGCCCATCTTGTCAATAGCGTACCTGATATTTATTAAACAATATATTAGAAACAATTTTTTTTTCTTAAAAATGGAAGGGGTTTGGGGAAGAGCTAGAAAACAAATGAACTTTGTAACAGGAATTGGCCTTGGAAAACAAACTAGTGGCACCTGATTGAAAAAGGCTACCTCTTCCTGTGCTAGACCCCACACTCAATTCCCTGACTTCTGCTCCTAAAATCTCAAGATGGAAATGTACCTCTGGCAGCCTGGCTGTTGTTTATCTCTCTCAGAAACACTAAGACAGTAACACCTGTACATTGCCAGTTCAAAAAAGAAAGCCTCGGGGCCCGGCAGCGTGGCCTAGCGGCTAAAGTCCTCCTCACTTTGAACGCCGGGATCCCATATGGACACCGGTTCTAATCCCAGCAGCTCCACTTCCCGGCCAGCTCCCTGCTTGTGGCCTGAGAAAACAGTTGAGGACGGCCCAAAGCTTTGGGACTCTGCACCCGTGTGGGACACCTGGAAGAAGTTCCTGGATCCTGGTTTTGGATCAGCATAGCACCGGCCGCTTGGGGCTCATTTGGGTAGTGAATCATCGGACGGAAGATCTTCCTCTCTGTCTTTCCTCCTCTCTGTATATCTGCCTTTCCAATAAAAATAAATAAATACATCTTAAAAAAAAAAAAAGAAAGCTCTTTCAGCTAGCTTTCTCATATGAACCAAGAACATGGGAAAAATGAGTTACAGTTGTTATAATTTCCCCAAACATAATAGGACCAATAATATTCTGTTAATTTATTCTTTATCTTATGGCAAGATTCTCTGAATTTGATTTCATAACTAACAGCATCAACATCATGTGAGAACTTACTGGAAATTTAAACTTTGAGTTCATACTCCAGATAATTAGAAAATCTCGGGATGGGACGTAGTGTCCATGGAGGTTTAAAATCACCTCAAGATCCTGTAAAATGCAGGTTGTGTCTCAGTTTTGTTTGGATCTAAGAGTCTAGATGAATAACAAGGTCCTCGGTGATGCTAGTGCTGGTGCTCCTGTGATCTAGTGACCCTATATAGATATAAATACATCAGAAATTTGAAATTTTAGCAAGTTGAAAACATGCTCACATATTCCATCTTACAGAAACTGTGCACCGTTCAGAGTGTCAACTGCAGAGACATTGAAGGGCGTCAGTCTACCCCACTCCATTTTGCAGCTGGATACAACAGGGTATCTGTGGTGGAGTATCTGCTACAACATGGGGCTGATGTGCATGCTAAAGACAAAGGGTCAGTACCAACAGTTGCCTTGGCCTCTTTTTTCTGTATCTTTTTCTGACTTTTAAAGCAAAGTCAATATTTTCATGGTAGCTGGTAGCCTTCTATTTCCCCTCAATCCCCACATACAACCCCAGAAGTTTTTTCGATACCATTGGCTTCAATATGATTTCAGTAAGATTTTATTATGGCAAACACTTACTATAAAGCCTAATGCCTTGTAATTATATACTGATCAGACAGATAAAAACACACATACATAGAATTTTCATGCAGATTTTTGTTTTTATGTAAGATATTTGAGTTCTTCAGTTCAGAATCACTAAATATGAATCTAGATAGCCAGTATATATGTGGTTGTGATGCTCACTGAATTTTCTGTACTTAGAATACTTCAAACTTTTTTGGGTCAGCGGCATGGCACAGCACGCTGATCCTCTGCCCTGTGGCACTGGCATCCCATGTGGGTACTGATTCATGTCCCAGCAGCCCCACTTTCCATCCAGCTCCCTTCTTGTGGCCTGGGAAAACAATCAAGGATGGCCTTGGAGCCCTGCACCCACATGGGAGACCTGGAAGAAGCTCCTGGCATCAGATCAGCTCAGCTCAACTCTGGCCAGCAGATTAGTGATTTCTTTCTCTGTAGAAATCTACCTTTCAAATAAAAATAAATTTTTTTTTAAATTTTTTTTCTCCCAATCCCTCTGAAAGGAATTACATTTCTGTTTTCAATAAATTTAGATTCTTCAGAGCGTAATCAGTATTCTTATTCAGTTAACAAAATGTTTCCTCAGTTATATATTATTTATAGTGAAATACATGGCTGTGTGGTGTCATTGCTGATTTTACTTTTTCATTTCAGAGGTCTTGTACCTTTGCACAATGCATGTTCTTATGGACATTATGAAGTTGCAGAACTTCTTGTTAAGCATGGAGCAGTAGTTAATGTAGCTGATTTATGGAAATTTACACCTTTACATGAAGCTGCAGCAAAAGGGAAATATGAAATTTGTAAACTTCTCCTCCAGGTATGTACAAGTACAGACTGCAGAACATGAGAATTACATAGAATATGTTTTACAATTTTTTAAGTAACTCTTAACTCTGTACCTGGATTTTAGAATAAAAGTGATGTCCTTTGTATTTCAATTTACAAATATATTGAGTTTCATTGGGCCCTGGCATGGTGGCCTCATCGCTGGGGTCCTATGTGGGATGCCCGAAGAGGCTTCAAGCTTCTGACTTTGAATCAGCTCAGCGACAGCCATTGTGGCCACTTGGAGGGTGGGCCAATCTTTAAAAAACAAATTTTCATATACAAGTAATTATCACTTATGATAGTTCTCTGGGTATTATATTTATTTTTGCTGTTTAGCACTTCAGCTTCAAAATATGTAGTAAGCTATGTGGATTTTAAGCCAGGCCTATTTATCATTGAGAAAGTTGCTGATAGTGGCAAACTTTGGCGTAGGGGAAAAGTTGCTACCCAAGGTACCAGCAACCCATGTGGGTGCTAGATTATGTCCTAGCAGTTCCACTTTCCAATCCAGCTCACTGCTTATAGCCTGGCAAAAGCAACAGAGGACGGCCCAAGTGCTTGGGCTCCTACCTATGTGGGAGATTTGGAAGAATCTCGTGGTTTTGACCTGGACCATTCTTGGCCTTTGAAGCCAGCCAGCCATCTGGGAAGTAAACCAGCAGATGGAATTCTCTTCCTCCTTCCTTCCTTGCTCTGTCTCTAACTTTCAAATAAATGATTTTGTTTAAATGATGATATCAGTTTACTGTAGGTACCAGTGAGTATCTTACAGTTAAAGATAGCATTATACTTTAATATCTTAGTGACGGTATACCTAAAAGCTAATTTTTAATAATATTACATTATTTTGAGCATAGTTTAAATTTTCTACTATATTAATACATAATAAAAATCCAATATTGAACTGTTCCTATATTCTATATAATTTTTTGTATATGAAGTAACCATTAATAATAGTCATAAGCTTTAAGGTATTCTCAAATGATTTTTTTTTTTTTTTTTAGTGTAGTTGCATTGACTTTTCTCATTGAGCAAAGACGTGCTTAAGCCAGTTTCTCCAATTTTTTTTTTCACATATGTAGCATGGTGCAGACCCTACAAAGAAAAACAGAGATGGAAATACGCCTTTGGATCTTGTTAAAGATGGAGATACAGATATCCAAGATTTGCTTAGGGGAGATGCAGCTTTGCTAGATGCTGCCAAGAAGGGTTGTTTAGCCAGAGTTAAAAAGTTATCTTCACCTGATAATGTAAATTGTCGTGATACCCAAGGCCGACATTCAACACCTTTACACTTAGCAGGTGAGTGAATAAAGTGTCATGGATTTAGGCATCTAAGATTTATTGTAGCTGAGGAAAATTCTTCCTGTAACTAAAACTTGGAAAATTTGAATCAAGCATCTTCTAATACCACCATTATACTTTTAGTATTTTCATACAGGAAAGCCATACATCACGTTTTTAGCAAGTTCCAGCTCACTTTAGCATTGACAACATTGAATTTACTCAAAAATTAAAACAGGCTTTGTGATCACAGTTGACAGTCTGTATCAACTGTCTGTATTGACTATATTTTGTTTGCTTTTTCTTTGATGAGTGAGTTTTTTAAAATACTGCTTTAGGCGTTCTTCACTTTGGGAAGCTAAAGCTTTCCATTCTTCTGATAGCAGCTAACCACTAGCAGGAAAGCAGTGCTTTTCACAAGTTACAATAAACTAAACCTTTTGGCAAGTTACTGTTTTAGATTGCAATAGCCACCATGACCAGATGACAGATGGGCTAGAAAATAGTTATTTGTTCCCAGTTGTGGAGGGTAGATTTCTGAGATCAGTGGGTCAGAAGCTCTGAAGGACACCCAGTCATGTATGTTCACTATAGTGACCACATTTTAACTTAACCGTGACTTTAAAAGCCCTATCTCTGCATACATCCACATGATAAGGTGTTGGAATTGGTGCTTCAGTGGAGAAGGTTGAGGAGGCGAACATTCAGTCTGTAACATTTGTTCTGAGTTTTCATATCAGTAGAATCCTGTTATAGTTGGCTCAAACAACTTTTATCTAATCATGATTTAAAAAGAAATAGAAGCAGCAGACATTTGTCTAATTGAGAGTTCCACCATCTCACTTATGACTGCCTGGATTTGACTCCTGCCTCCACTCCCTGCTTCACCTTCCTGCTTGTATAGACCCAGTGAAGCAGCAGTAGAAGGCTCAGCTAGTGCTGGGAGGGTTAGGTATGTCACTTGCAGCTTTGACCCCATTCCAGCTCCAACCATGTTGCAGGCATTTTGGAAGTGAAATACTCTCTACCTCTCAAAACCTTCTAAAAGAGAACAGGTAGTACATATGTTTCTGCTCTTTTGTGAAATATCCATATATTCAGTCTTAATGTAGTACAACTTAGAGTTGACATTGTTGACATTTAAAAGATAACTTTGGTTATGTATGATTTCAACCTTTAAATTCTCGCTCCATATAAATTGGGGCCCCACTATCCAGAGGTACAGATGACTCCATCTGTGTGTCTTTTAGAGCATCCTGGAAGTGATAAGTCAGTCCCAAGTGACAAATGTGTGAGAAAAAACTTACTGCCTCTGCTGGCTAAAGGAGTTTCTAGTCTATACAAGCAAAATATGACTTGATCTCTGGAAATTGTGCTGTGCACACTTACATTATCTCATGTGTTAGTGTGAAATGCTATACCTTGAGACTGGAAGGACTTTTAAGATTAGTGTGCTCCTGAGCTGATGATAGTTTTTGGATTTGTCTTTTTTTATTTGATCTTTTAAAATTACTTTGCTTTAGATGCCTCGGTAAAAGAATAGAAACTATAGCAAAATAGGAACAAAATATTTTGAACCATTTTAAAGTTTCAGATGATAATGCATTCTTGTCTTTGTAAAATTAAGTTCCAGCTTTGCTTTGTAACCTGTGATTATGTGTCAGATTATACACACATACACCTTATCCTGATAGCTGACAAAATGACAGCCTCTGCATGGCTTCACCAGCCCGGGTTCTTCTGCTGAACCTGGACATAGATGTGCTGCTAAGCTCCCTCCAACACACAGCATGCCCCTGACTTCTGGGAACGAGGCCCTGAACAGCAGGCATGAACTCCTGCTCAGTGGCCACTTGTGTCCCTAATTTGGCTTTTATAGGAATGCATGTCCTTGACTTGGAGCCCTAAAAACCATTTTCCTGAATTCAGGAAGTTGTATGAGGTAACCATGAAGGCCAGGACTGTAGTAGAAAGGTTTTTAAAGGAAGGATATATGCCAATAATCCATATAATTTTGGAAATTATTATAACCAGTAGATATCATCAGAAGCTTGTAACTTGTGCCCAGTGGGAATTTTTTATAGGTGAAATTTTTAATAGACTGCAATGGGAATTTCAAATTTATCTAAAATTTGTTCTTCCTGGATGTCTATGCTTTATAAACGTATACATGTGAGGTTTTTCTATTAACAAGTGAAAGTGATCATGTTTCTTTTCTAAATTAGCTGGTTACAATAATTTAGAAGTTGCAGAGTATTTGTTGCAACACGGAGCTGATGTGAATGCCCAAGACAAAGGAGGACTTATTCCTTTACATAATGCAGCATCCTATGGGGTAAGTTCTTCTCTGTTATCTTTTAAGAGGTATGGAATTGGCAAGGTCAGAAATTCCATTTGAAGTTCACACATTTTACGGAAAAGTAAATATGAAGCTAAATAACAGCCAAGTTTCACTTCTGAATCTACTGTGATAATGCTCTGTGACCCACAATATCTTGTCATTTGTTTATCTTTTATAGCCCCTGTCTCTTATTTTCAGTTTGATGTTCATGATCTTAATTTATTTGCTGGTGACTAGAAAACTCTCTTAGGCATTACAAGGATTCAAATATATTGCTTCTGAATTAACCCTGTATGTTAGAATTATTAGTAACCATCTTGAACAAAGTAGTTTGAATAATTGAGGAAAGTGACTAGTTTATGAATTGATGTTCAATAGTAACAATGAATAAGTAGAAAACATTCAAATTATGTTAGCTTACTACCATATAGAATTCTTTATTTTTTAAATAGTTTCTCAAATTACTGAAATTTCAATTATCTGCTGTAATCTTAATAATCTATCCGTAAGTTAAAATATTGGAGAAAAGTGGGGTTTTTGTTTCTTCAGGTTTTTTTTCCCCTAGGGTAAATTTGAACATGTAGATGGAGGAACATAGCTAGTTCTTAAGAACTGAAGTATGTTAACATAATATTTCTGACTGTAACAGGAATATTTTCTTTTACAGCACGTAGATGTAGCAGCTTTACTAATAAAGTACAATGCATGTGTCAATGCCACGGACAAATGGGCTTTCACACCTTTGCACGAAGCAGCCCAAAAGGGACGAACACAGCTTTGTGCTTTGTTGTTGGCCCACGGAGCTGATCCTACTCTTAAAAATCAGGAAGGACAAACACCTTTAGATTTAGTTTCAGTAAGTGATGGGCTCTTTGAAAAATCTCACTGCTTTCCTTTTTAAAATTCAGTTGATAAATATAAAATGTTTTAGTGAATGTGGCAAAATCTGGTTTTTAGCCCAATCTTAAATTTATGACTTCTTGGTTTTGTAGTATAAGTTATCAGTCATTCATTGTATTGTACAGGTACTTCAAAAGGTTTGTGGAAAATTAGCATTTTATTTTGGTGCACAGAAATTTGACATTCATGCATAGTTGGGTTTTATTAGTAATACTTTTTTTCAAAATGTGTTTTTTCCATGAATTTTTTGAGGAGCTCTTCAGTGCAGAAATGTCAATTTCTTCACCAATACCAACTTTGAATTCTGTTCTTCCATGAAGTTTTTGAAGTACCCTCTTACTTTGTAAATAGGAAGGAAGAGAACATAGTACAGCTATTTGCTTTTAGTTGGGAAATAAGTGGACCCAGCCCCTCCATGAATGCTGTTGGTTACTGTGTGTGCAGGTAACACAGCTTCCTCAACTGGTGTGCAACCACAAAGCCTGCTACCAGTAGAGAAATTTCCTGCCATCCCACCATGCCTCCTTCCAATTTTTACCCTGCCAAAAGTATTCATGAAAAGGCTTGTTACTGTACTTCTCTGGGGAAATACTTCCCAGGTGAATCTTTCAAATCAAGATTGTTTAAGAGGAGTCTCCAGTGTAGTTTTTGGCACTGCAACCCAAGGGCCTTGTTCCTCTACCAGTGGGCACATTGAACAAAGCAGTAGAAGGGAAGAAATAAAAATTTTAAAAGATCTTCATGTTTATTTGAAAGAAAAACAGAAAAATTCTCCATTCACTGGTTTGGCTGCAATAACTGGTAGGCTTGGCCACAGCTAGGAACTTCCATGGGCGTCGGAGCCCTATGCCCATGGATCATCATCCTCTGCCTCCTAAGCATATTAACAGTGAACTGGGTTAGGAGCAGAAAAGCCAAAATTCAAACCAACACTTCAATACAGGATGTAGGCATCTGCAGCAGCTTAACTGTGCCACAGTGCCAGCCCCGGAAGAAATAGCAAGAAAGGGATGTGTCTACTACAGACCGTTTTCCACTTTTCCAGGTTTCACAGAGCAGCTGATTCATTTCAACTATCTTGGGGTTTAAATAGATTGTTTTAGTGAGCCAATAGCCCACCCATACTTCTTAAGGGAAATGCTTTGCAGAGAGCTACGTTTTAAGTGACCTTAAGAAATTCATTCTATTAATCTTTCAAATACACTTGACAGTGAATCAAAATGCTCTGGAGATCTTGCCTGGGTTTAGATTCAGACTTGGCCTCCAATTCCAGCTGTTTCACTTATACAGTTTTGCTGCAAGGTTGTCTCCTAACCAATCACAAAATCTTAGTTGCCACACATATAAATAGGAATAAAATATATGTGGTTAATATAAGATTTAAATGAGGTAGTATACTTAAAGACTTTGGCATGGTGTCAGGCACATAAAAAGTAGTCGATGTATACCATGCATGCCATAGAACACACAGGGAAGAGGAATGGACAAGGTGAGGACAGGCAGTTAAAAACAATTACTTGATTTATTTCTTGCTAATTGAATTACTTAGCCCCTTGATTCAGCATTGTCAAAGAATGTTCAGTGTCATTAATTAAACAAATTAGTAAAGTTAGCAAATTTGATGGAAATGATTGATTACTTTTGTGAGATTTTTGTTTTGAGAAACAACATAATTCGTTTCAGTGCTTTTCAGTCATGATATCAGAGTTAGGATTTTGTTCATTCTTTGCCACATTTTGCGGAAATTATTTTCTGAATTCTCTTTTATCAATATCAGTTTCCCTGAAGATCAGGTTGTTCGCTTTACTTTTTATTTTTATGTGATAATTCTGTTGCAGATCTCTTGGCTTTGTCAAATGTTGAAATACATTTTGTTCGAAAAATAAATTGCTTATGGCGGACTTGATCTTTGACTTGTTTCGTAGGCAGATGATGTCAGCGCTCTCCTGACTGCTGCCATGCCCCCTTCTGCTCTGCCTTCGTGTTACAAGCCTCAAGTGCTCAATGGTGTGAGAAGCCCAGGAGCTCCCACGGATGTTCTGTCTTCAGATCCATCCAGCCCATCAAGTCTATCTGCAGCCAGCAGTCTTGATAACTTATCAGCGAGTTTTTCTGAATTATCTTCGGTAGTTAGTTCAAGTACAACAGAAGGTGCTTCCAGTTTGGAAAAAAAAGAGGGTAAGACAGTCTGCAAAAATAGTTTTAGAGCTCATATTTGTCATTTGAAATGTTTGTGGAAAAGGCCTCTGTAACCTTAAATCTGACTGCTGATATCAGATTAATTTGCATGATCTAAAATTTTAGTCTTCTACCATTAACATTTTTTATGGAATTTCTAGTGAAACTTTATCCTTCTGAGTGGAGAGATGAGTCCTACCCACTCGGCTCACCCCACAATGTAAAACATCTTCAAAGACAGGAAGACTGATTTAAAGAGACAGTTACAAACACAAGCATTTTATAGCTTTCTCTTAAATTTTATTATTTTCAGTATTCTTATAGTGGTGTTACTACTTTGCTTCATCTTCACATATATATAATATCATAAAGCTTTACTGTTTTGATGTTAATACGCATTACTCTGATGTGAAATTTTTATTTCTGTTTCTATTTCCCAGTTTCAGGAGTAGATTTTAGCATAACTCAGTTTGTAAGGAATCTTGGACTTGAGCACTTGATGGATATATTTGAAAGAGAACAGGTGAGTAAATGAATTGTGTTGCTCGGTTTAGTGCTTTATGGAACTTGACACTTCACAAACTGCTGTCAAAATGAATATGCATATACAAACTATATATCAGTGCCTTTCTAAACAGTCCCAGTTTGAAATGCTTTATCAAAATACATTTGCTGATTTATTGCTGTTCAGAAAATATAGTTATTAAAGAACTTTCCATCTTTTTAAAACTAGAACAAGAGCGTATGAAGAATTCAAATTTGCCATAGATTTTAGAAATTAAGAAAGGAGCATTACTTTGAGCTTGACTATCCAGGGAAAACTTCAGGGAAGAAGTATATGTAAAGATTTTAAAGAATCACTTCATTTTCTTAAAACCTGTAGAATACCTTCTATCTGACCTACAAAGGGTGAATCTGAGAAGTGATGGAGAAGTACCAAGTGGCATAGTATAAGCTCTGGAGCAACATTGTATCAAGAGGGGTAGCTGTGAGTGGGGAGAAGAGTACACTTAAAATTGGTGAATTTGGAAGCGCATTTTTGTAGAGTTGAACTTGGTTCAGGTTCTTAGCCTAAATGAAAATAGTAATTTTGCTTGTTTTATAACTTGCTGTTTTATTCCAACTTTTCATTCTATTAATTTTGGCTAGCTCACTGATTTGTTTCTGTTTCTAATATATGCATCTAACATATGTGAAAATAGCAATATTTGAGTGTCCACCAAATGAATAAGCATTCTAAACAGTTTCATCCTCCTTTCTAAGATCACTTTGGATGTACTAGTTGAGATGGGGCACAAGGAGCTGAAGGAGATTGGAATCAATGCTTATGGACATAGACACAAGCTCATTAAAGGAGTTGAGAGACTTATCTCTGGACAACAAGGTATTTAATTTAATAATTATTGTCTTCAGCTTAGTGTGGGTAACGGTAGACCTTTCTGTATGAAATGGTTAGTCTTCAATCTGTTTGACTGATTTTAATAAGAACCTGTTTCATAAGAAAAGCACAGTTTAGATTCAGAAAACCTAATAACTACTAAACTTCCTGAACTGCTGTCCATTGTGTGAATCTCAGTTAAAAAAAAAAAAAAAACTTATTCAGAAGCTTGGATGTTGTATCAATTGCTAAAATTCGGCTAATTTGGTGAGATGATTTTTGACATTCTAGTTCTGAAATTTTACAATTCTAACAGGTATCTGAAGCATCAATTATTTCATGTGGTAATAGAATAGATGATGACAAGTTGTGAGAGGCTGACCCATAAAGTCATATAGTAAATTTCTTATGCATCTAAAAATAGGAACATTTGAAGTAAAGGTACCAGTGAATATTATTGCACCTGAGCAAATTAAACCCTGAAAAAGTTGAGTAGTATTTTCATTTCTCCAGTGTTAGTTTTAAAAACAACAAAAAATTACTACTTATGTACCAGGTCCAGGTTTAAAAAAGTGAATTCTTTTGTTTTAACCTTTTTTGCTAAAAGCATACTATAATTGAAGTCTTGTTGGTGCAGCTGGTATTAAAAAGAAACCTCTTTGCAAAAATGAAGGAATTTTTAGGGACAAATGTGCTAACTCAGAGTCTGCCTGTTAAAGAAATAAGAGCATCAGGCCTGGTGCGATGGCGCAGTGGTTAAGGTCCTCACCTAGCACGCCCGGGATCCCATATGGGCGCCGGTTCTAATCCCGGCAGCCCCGCTTCCCTTCCAGCTCTCTGCCTGTGGCCTGGGAAAGCAGTCGAGGACGGCCCAAGGCTTTGGGACCCTGCAACCCGCGTGGGAGACCCGGAAGAGGCTCCTGGCTTCGGATCGGCATAGTATCGGCCGTTGCGCTCACTTGGGGAGTGAATCATCGGACGGAAGATCTTCCTCTCTGTCTCTCCTCTCTGTATATCTGCCTTTCCAATAAACAAATAATAAAAATAAATCTTTAAAAAAAAAAAAAAGAAATAAGAGCATATCTAAAATTTTAGGTGATGATAGCTAAGAAATGCTTTTGAACTCGTGTTTTTGGATGAGGTAATTGAAAGGTAGCTGTGCCTTACTTGCCTGGTAGTCACTAGAGAGAAAATGGGAGATAGTTTTGACTCTTCCTAGGGTAACAAAATTAACAGCCTGCTATGATAACAGATACAGTGCACCATAAAGATAGTAGGTTCTGTAGGAAAGAGGCAGGGTGGAAAAGTAAGGCAGACAGGTTTGGTTTTTCTTTTATTTTTTTATCTTTTATTTTATAAGCCTGTATTGAGAGCTGGCTTCACAGTGGATGAGCTGCTTTGCCACGTAGGAAATTTGACCCAGAAGCAGATCTTCTGAGTGGTTTAGCACCAAGTTCTCTATGAATATCCATTGCATGTAGGGTGGGAGTGTGGCCCTGTGTCTGGCCACACTTTGTTTCCCAGAACAAAGGGCTTTCCACACTGGATCCCAAGTCCCAGTCAGTAGTGACTACCACCAGGGAGGATGGCAAGGGACCAGCTCTCCACAGCCAGCTGAGCCTTCACCCTATTATTCTGCGTGGGCAAGATTCTGATTTAGAGGCAGTCGATCCTAATCCCATATGTGATAGCTTCTCACCTGAGCACGTATGTAAAATGTCTCAACCCATGGTATCAGCAAGTTTTATATGCTAAACACATAGTTATTAGGACTGCATTAAAAGCTTTAGGAAGTCTTCATTCCATAAAATATTCTCCAGATGGTCTCTAATTCTTGTAGGTAGTGTAACTTCAGTAATCAGAAACTGACTTATTAGTGGTAGTCCTGTTCTTCAGCCTATAGCTGGATTGAAATTAGTGCTGTCTCCAGAGACAACACCCTTGGCAACTGACTCAGCAGTAAAGGATTTGACCCTCGTTTGTTTGTAGAACACTTGTTACACAGATTAAGAGAGTTGTGTTACACAGGTGCAAAAAAAGTTGGGAAGTTCTGTTATAAGTTAAGAAAAAAATGGAAATAAAGAATTTCTGAGATACTCTCACAAAACTCTTAAAAATGGTCAGTTCGAAGACTGGTTGTCTCAATATCCTGTGGTATCCTGGAGCAGAGAAAGCCATTAGTGGGGAGGAAAGCAACGGAATCTGAATTTTACTTAAGGTTTGTTGAGTGCAGCATGATTATATATAGTGGTAACTTAAAGAGAAGTTGGGTGAATGGTACACAGTATTCTACATTCTACCTTCCTGAAAGTCAATTTATCACTTAATACACATCTATAAAAATTAGTGGTAACTTCAGATAAATCCAATGATGCTTTTTGGTTGGTATTGTCTTATTGGCAATTTTTGTTTACTTCAAATTTCATTTTACAGGTCTTAACCCATATTTAACTTTGAATACCTCTGGCAGTGGAACAATTCTCATAGATCTGTCTCCTGATGATAAAGAGTTTCAGTCTGTGGAGGAAGAGGTATGTTCACGTACCCTAAATGACTGGGAAAATAAATCTGCATATGTTACTGGTTCCATTGCCTAATTTCTTGGAGGTTCCACATCTGTTTGAACATGGATTATGGTCTTAAAATTGTCCCTCTACCACCTGCAGTTTTTTTTCCTTAGGCACAGGCCCAGTTGAGCATAATAGCCAGGTTTGTGCCATATCAAAGCCAAGAGGCAGAAATCCCAACCTGTCCCACGTAGATGATGGAGGTCCAGATCTGAGTTATCTTCTGCCTTCCCAAGCACATCAGCAGAAAACTGGTTTCATGGTGGAGCAACCTGGACTGTAACTGGCAGTCTGATAAAGGATGTTGGCATCAGAAGCTCAACCTGCCACATCCACAGGGCCAGCCCACCAGCTGGAAATTTTTAAATCGACTTGTAACATTTAAAACTTACTTTCTTGATAATCTCTTAACTCCAGTTTTATGCACTATAGTTGAAACCTACACAGAACTGTGTTGGACAGCAGTTGCTGTCATTTTGGAGGGTGGGGGGCGAGGGGAGTGGCATTCCCTTCTCTTTAGAGTTGGCAAGGCCAGGTATCTCTGACAAAGATCCAGAACAGGTGACTGCTAGTCTCCCCACAGAGTTTGGTCCAGTTTTCTTTGTAAAGAGCTTTTGAGTCCACTAGAGTATTTCAGTAGTTCCCTCCTTATGCCTCTTTACAGTTTGAAGAAAACATACCTTTTATATGAATTGAGCTCAATTCTAAGGCTCAATATACCAGTTCTCAGTAAAGCATATGTAGTGCTTTAGTGGACTAAAATCAATAGAAGCAGATTAACCCTTGTTTGTGTTAGAATATCAAATGTTTAGTCTTGTATGTGTAACTCATTTTGGAGAACCTTGTTCTTTTAGTTTCCATTATACAACTTTTTCCTACTTCCAGGTTAACTGATTAATATTTCTAGGATATAATACTCATAACTTATAAATCCCATATCCTGTAAATAGAAATGTTGTTATAGTTTTGTGTTATCAAAAATAGAATCAGATAAGAACCTTGTTCCCAATATCAGAAAACACATGAAAGGTAATACACATGTTTTACGTGATTTTTCCGTCAGATGCAGAGTACAGTCCGTGAACACAGAGATGGAGGCCATGCAGGCGGGATCTTCAATAGATACAATATTCTGAAGGTAACGCATTAGTGAAAATGAAGTTTCCTGAGACAGTAATTTTGAAAATGTGAAGTTGTAAATAGGTTTTATAAGAATGTAGTAATATGTCCAATCTAATAGCTCTTTTAGTAACACGTTGATTCAGCCTTGTAAAAAAATAAGTTCATATTTGGCATTCTGCTTTATCGTAAGATCGAAGTAAATCCTGTAGGTTCCAGATTTTAAACATGAAGTATTAAGATATTCTATTAAACAAAGGTGCATTTTTATGCTTTACAGAAGGACCCCATTTGTAGTTATATCATGCTTTCTTAAGAATTTTAAAGATTCTGGGCCCGGTGCAATACCGTAATGGCTAAGGTTTAAGACAGAAGCCAGAAGTTTCTTCTGGGTCTCCCAGATGATTGTAGCTACATGAACGAGCACCCATATAGGATGCCAGTGTCACAGGTGGAAGATTAACTTACTGGGCTACCACACCAGCCCCCAACAGTTATATTTTTGGTTTCAAGATACATTTATTTTTGTTGGAAAGGCAGATCTGCAGAGAAGAGACAAAAAGAAAGATCTTCAACCCTCTGATTTTGGCCTCAACAGTCAGAGCTGAGCCACTCCAAACCTACTCTGGTTCTCCCACATGGGTGCAGGGTCCCAAGACCTTAGGCCATCCTCCATTGCCTTCCCAGGCACAAGCGGGGAGCTGGATGGGAAATGGAGCAACCAGGACACAGACCGACACTTAAAGTTGCAAGATTAGCCCATCAACCACAGCGCTGGCCTCCCGCCACCTTTTTGTAAAATACAGTAATAGTTTCTCTGCGTCTTTTCCCAGAAAATAACTGTAAAAAGATGTTTTATATTGTTCTGTGAAGGCGTATCTGTTGCTGATTTCATTAATCTTGATTTTCTTGGATGAGATGTTATAGTCCATGGGCCCGGCAGCGTGGCCTAGTGGCTAAAGTCTTCGCCTTGAACGTGCCGGGATCCCATATGGGCGCCAGTTCTAATCCCAGCAGCTCCACTTCCCATCCAGCTCCCTGCTTGTGGCCTGGGAAAGCAGTCAAGGACGGCCCAAAGCTTTGGGACCCTGCACCCGCGTGGGAGACCTGGAAGAGGCTCCTGGCTTCGGATTGGCATAGCATCAGCTGTTGGGCTCACTTGGGGAGTGAATCATCGGACGGAAGATCTTTCTCTATGTCTCTCCTTCTCTATATATATCTGACTTTCCAATAAATAAATCTTTTTTAAAAAAAAAAGTACTCTTACATTAAAATTACTGAGTTTGCTGTGTTCGTACTGTAAGAAATCCAATGATTTCAAACAATTTAGCAGTAGCTGTGAATATTGCCATTAGTGGATATTTATATAATAATTTCTAGTAAAGACTTATTAATGCTTATTACAAACAGGTTTTGGCCAAGTTTGCTTTGTCCACAAATATTAGCAAAATATGTGGAGTTTTGTTAGGGGGAGAACAGGAGAGAATGTTTGAGTTAAAGTACTGTTTGATTTTTTTTCTTCCTTTGTAAAGCTATTTTAGTACAGTATTTAAGAAATTTTTCTCATTAATCAAATTTTTATTCCCTTTCACGCAAAAATGAGGTCTGTCTGTGCCAGTTTTGGTTTCTTGCTTCTGTTTGTACTAATATTTTGAATTGTTTTGAGCCACAATATAGAACTGTCAGCTGCCCGGTGTGCTCTAAGCACCAGCAGGGGGCTGTAGCACCCTTAAAGGCAGCTAAGAAACAAAATTAGGATTATATACATTTTGATTCCAGAAGTACTATTTTTTTTATTTTTTACTCTAGAAGTACTTCTAATGAAACCATCTATTTTTAAATCTTCCTCAGACTGAAATTATTCTAATTTAGGAAGTAGAATAATAAAAGAACTGTAGAAAGAAGAGACAGAATATATTTACATGTGTGCACACAATTAAGATTTTTATGGTTTTAACACATTTTTTCATACAGATTAAAAAGTTACTTTGGAGCTAGATAAACATTCTCTGTACTTAATACAAAATTCAACACTTTGATTTCAGGGTTTTTTTGTTGTTTACTAATTTTAAATAACTAGAGAAGAAATACTTAAATCACTTAGCCATATTCTCAGCCTTTCCTTGTAGCTGTTTTATACTTTTGATTTCTAATTTCATGATCTTGAGAGAGCATTTTTAGTTAACTAAACCATAATGTGTGTATTGCATTTCAGAGGAATGCTTTGCTTCCTTTCTGTCTAGTGATGTGTCTCATACTTTGGTAAAGACAGAAAAGTGTTTAAGTGAAGATTGAGACCTGAGGATTTTATTTTCTGTTTCATTTTTTAATAGATTCAGAAAGTTTGTAATAAAAAACTATGGGAGAGATATACTCACCGGAGAAAAGAAGTGTCTGAAGAAAACCACAACCATGCAAATGAAAGGATGCTGTTTCATGGTGAGATTTCCTTCCCCTGACTCAATTGCTGTCTTCCTGTATATGAAGGTAGATTTTTTCTGGAGATTGATTCATTTTTATTGGAAAGATTTACAGAGACCAAGAGAAACAGAAAGATCTTACATCCACTGGTTCACTCCCCAAATGGCTGCAGCAGCTGTTGCCAAGCCAATCTGAAGCCAGTAGCTAGGAGCCTTGAGCCTCATCCGGGTCTCTCCCTTGGGTGCAGGATCCCAAGGCTTTGATCCATATTCTACTGCCTTCCCAAGCCATAAGCAGAGAGCTGGGTGGGAACTGGGGCACGTGACACTAGAACAGCACCTATATGGAATGACAGTGCCTGCAGGTAAAGGACTGTCTGTTGAGCCAAAGTATATACAACTATGTATTAATATAATAACAATCTGTACAGTCTTCATGTCATTTTTTTTAATAAACCTAACAGTGAATATTTAGCTCTAGAGTATATTTAGTGATCTATAATAAGATTGCCATAAAGGTAAAAGTCAAGAAATATTGATGGAGACCATTAAATGGTCTTTTTATTGTTGTTGTTTGCTTATTAGATTTTACTTATTATGACCACTCTGAGAAATTGTGGTTTGCTATTGACTAATTGAATTAAAATTGAGCTAAGGTCTAAAGATAATATTCTCTCTAGAAAAGATGTAGAGAGAATAATATATTTATCCTATTCTGATTTTGATGCTGAGTGTTAAAACTCCATTAAACTTCACTGTTAATAGAGTCATTATCATCAAACCTTTGGAGATTTTTGATAACTGTAGTTGAATTGGGAGGTCCAATATTTACTTTTTGAAATTTTCTGCTAAGTCATAATTTGTGGGAGCAGTAAACCAGTGGAAAGCAGCTCTGTCTGTCTCTCAAGTAAATTAAAAAGTAGAATACAGAACTGGTGAGTAACTTCTTAACTTTTTTTATAATGGCATTGTTGTGTGGTTAGTATTTAAAAATTTAACTTCAGGACCCAGCACAATAACCTAGTGGCTAAAGTCCTCACCTTGCATGTGCCAGAATCCCATAAGGGCACTGGTTCATGTCCCTGTGATGCCACTTCCATTCCATCTCCCTGCTTGTGGCCTGGGAAAGCAATCGAGATGACCCAAAGCCTTGGGACCTTGCACCCGTTTGGGAGACACAGAAGAGGCTCCTGACCCCTAGCTTTGGATTGACGGAGCTCTGGCCATTGCGGCCGCTTGAGGAACGAATCATCAGACAGAAGATCTTTCTCTTTGTCTCACCTCCTTTCGTACATCTGACTTTCCAATAAAAATAAATCTTTAAAAAATAATAATTTAGCTTCATACAAGGCTTTAGTTTTTGCTTTCTCTAAGATGAGTTTTGTTATCCATCTTTGTGTGTTTCAGGGTCTCCCTTTGTGAATGCAATTATCCATAAAGGCTTTGATGAAAGGCATGCATATATAGGTGGCATGTTTGGAGCTGGGATTTACTTTGCAGAAAACTCCTCCAAAAGCAATCAGTATGTATATGGAATTGGAGGAGGTACTGGGTGTCCAGTTCACAAAGACAGATCTTGTTACATTTGCCACAGGTAAGATAATTTTTTCTTTCCGAATTTATGTGGACAAGAATCTAATTAAAACAGCTTACATATCTGAGAAATCAGGGGAAGGCAAAGTAAAATGTTGGACAGCTTTAAGAATGCAAAATAGGAACATTTTAAGTTGCATTTGGCCTTCTCATCAGTTATAATAATTAATATTTATAACATAACTTATGAAAAGTACTTCTAAGCATTTAAGTGTATGTAACTTATTTAATCATTAGAATATGTAGCACTCTTTTTTTCCTTTACCCAGTACTTTAAAAAATGCTGATCTGGGCACGGCACAATAGCCTAGCAGCTAAAGTCCTCACCTTGCACATGCTAGGATCCCACATGGGCACTGATAGTAATGCCAGAGCCCCGCTTCCCACGCAGCTCCCTGCCTGTGGCCCGGGAAAGCAGTCAAGGACGCCCCAAAGCCTCGGGACCCTGCACCCGCGTGGGAGACCTGAAAGAGGCTCCTGGCTTCAGATTGACTCAGCTCTGGCTGTTGCAGCCACTTGGGGAGTGAATTAGTGGCTGGAAGATCTTTCTGTCTCCTCTCCTGTCTATATGTCTGACTTTGCAATGAGAATCACTAAATCTTAAAGAAGGGAGGGAGGAAGAGGGAGAGAGAGACAAAGAAAGAAAGGGAAGGTAAGAAAATGGAATTATTTTTTAAACGAATGGTAAGTGGAAAGTAACATTGGAGATGAAATTTTATTGTAACCCTTAACTATTACAGAATTGTGGATTTCTTAACTCAGTTGTTCAGGGGTGGGCATTTGGCCTAGCAGAATTTAAGAGACCAATCAAGATTAGCACGTTGCATGTTGAAGTACCTGGGTTCAGTTCCTTTACTAGTTCCCGATTCTATCTTCCTGTCAGGATGGGAGGCAGTGGTGATGGGTTCTTGCCATCCATGTGAAGTCCTAGATTGAGTTCTTATGTCCAGTCCCTGCAGGCATTTGAGCAGTGAGTCAGTAGATGAGATTCTCTCTCTGCACATGTTTCAAGCAGGAGAGAAGTGAGATCTTCATCTGCTGGTTCATTCTCCAGATGCCCAGAGTAGCCAGGGCTAGGCGAAAGCCAAGAGTCGGGCACTCGGCCTTAATCTCCCCCATGGATGGCAGGGACCCAACCACCCAGATGTGCATTTTCAGGAACTGAAAAACTCGAGGTCAGAGCTGTGACTTAATATCTGGCATCCCTTTTGGGTGCTGGTTTAAATCCCAACTGTTCCATTTCCCATCCAACTCCCTGCTAATGGCCTGGTGAAGCTTGGGAACCTGAACCCAGGTGGGAGAACTGAAAGAATTTCTAGCCATTTGGGGAGTAAACTGGCAGATGAAAGATCTTTATCCTTCTCCCTTAATGCTTCTTTCTCTGTACTTCTGCCTTTCAAATAAACTCAGATAAAATTTTTTTTTTAATTGCATTGAATCAATACAGGTAATAGAAGACATTTGTACAAAGTTCTTTTAAGCGTGCAAAGGTACAATCAATCCACCCTACCCTGGCATAAGTAGGCTAAGTCTCGGCCTGCAGCACCGATTTGAGGCCCAGCTGCTCCACTTCCTATCCAGCTCTCCTTATGACTCAGAAAAGCAGCAGAGAATGCCTCTAGTATTTGCATACCTGAACGAAATTGCTGGCTTCTGGCTTGAGAACAACCAGCTCCAGCCTTAACAGCCATCTGAGGAATGAGCCACCCCGTGAACATCTGTTACCTTAACTCTGTAAATCTGCCTTCCAAACAAAAATGAAATAAACTTTTTTAAAATATTGAAAGGTAGGGCCTGGCACAGTTGCTTAGTAGCTAAAGTCCTCACCTTCGATGTGCCAGGATCCCACATGGGTGCCAGTTCTCACCTTCGATGTGCCAGGATCCCACATGGGTGCCAGTTCTAATTCCAGGAGCTCCAGTTCCCATTGAGCTCCCTGCCTGTGGCCTGGGAAAGCAGTTGAGGGCAGCCCAAAGCCTTGGGATGCAGCACCTGTGTGGGAGACCTGGAGGAGGTTCATGGCTCCTAGCTTTGGATCAGCGCAGCACCAGCCATTGTGGTCACTTGGGAAGTGAATCATTGGATGGACGATCTTCGTCTCTGTCTCTCCTCCTCTCTGTATATCTGACTTTCCAATAGAAATAAATGTTTATTTTTAAAAATCATTTAAAAAATCAAAAGGTATAGATCATAAGTGTTGCATATTAATGCATTACCAAACTATGCATTGTACACAAACAATAACTCATAGGTTAGATTTGTCTTCACGGTGATCTTTTCCTACTATAGGCAGCTGCTGTTTTGCCGGGTGACCTTGGGAAAGTCTTTCCTGCAGTTCAGTGCAATGAAAATGGCGCACTCCCCTCCAGGTCATCACTCAGTCACTGGTCGACCCAGTGTCAATGGCCTAGCATTAGCTGAATATGTTATTTACAGAGGAGAGCAGGTAAGTCAGCTTTGTTAATATTGGAAAATATCATCAAACCATACTTTAAATTCTTAATAATCTCTTAAATGAGCAAACTGCATTTCCTTAAGAACTGTCTTTTTTTAACTTTGAAATAATTGCGGACTTGAAAAGTTGTAAAAATAGAAGAGAATTGCCTTTTCCCCTTTACGTAATTTCCAAAGCTAAGCAATTCATTCTCTCCCTTTCCTCAGTCATCTTCTAATCCATACCCTCCTGCACGTGTGCTAATGTCTAAATTATTTTTTTAACTATTTGAGAATAAGTTATAAACATGTCTATTTGACCTTTAACAGTACCTGAATGTGTATTTCCCAAAAACAAAATACCTTTTAAAATGATTGTATCTATTCCACAAACTATAAGGTTTATTCAATTTTGGGGTTTTTTATTATCTATAAATATAATTATGTGTAGCAAAGAAGGATCTATTCATAATTGCTGCTCTCAAGGTGAGACATGTCTAGTCTGAAGCAATACTAGGGCAGTGTTCTTAAATGAGTAAATTTCAGAGTCAACTCACTTAGGAAAAATAGACATTTTTGTAATACCCATCCTAAATCTGTCAAGAAAATTTGTTTGTCAATAATTGATTAATCTTTCTTTTCCAGGCTTATCCCGAGTACTTAATTACTTACCAGATTGTGAGGCCTGAAGGTATGGTTGATGGATAAATAGCTGCTTTAGAAAACTAATTCCACTGAACCTAAAATCACCGAAACAGTCGGTGGCCTCCACTTTAACTTGTTTGCTGAAAAAGTTATCTTGTCCACAGATCTGTGGCAGAAGGCTAAAGTATGAAGCAAGTTTAACATTCTGAGTTGATAGAGCTTTAATAATGTACAGTGTTTTCTAGATAGTTCCTGTTTTTTAGCACTTTAACAGATGCCATTCCAGGTTAAACTGGGTCTGTCTGTACTAAATTATAAACAGAGTTAACTTGAATCTTTTATACATTATGCATTGATTGAAACAAAAACTACAATGTCCTCGCCAGAACTCATTTTATTAATACAGTACTGTGTTCGTTAAAGCACAGGATTTACACTGAATAATACAATTTCATTTGTAAAACTGTAAATAAGAGCTTTTGTACTAGCCCAATATTTATTTACATTGCTTTGTAATATACCTGTGTTTTAGAACCGCAGCGGTTTACATAGTTCTACCTGTTGCTCCATCCATATTTCATCTTGCGTTGCCATGGTTTGATTCCAGAGGCTGTGTTGAGTTGTTGAGGAAATTGACTTACCAGATTGAATTTGCTGATAGAAACATTTGTCTCCCATTAGAAATCTTTTTGTTTTTTAAGAACTTATTTGATAAATACTCCAGGAATTCTAATTTCTGACCCCTTTTATATCTATAAGACAACGCATTTCAGAGAGTTCTAACTATGATAAGTTCTAATTACTAAAGAAGATTCTTTACTGGCCTCAAACTGTAGGTTTTGCATTGGACACTTTTCTAATGTCTTTCTGTGAAAATTAGAGCTATTGATCCTATTTTTAAAGAGACTAAATTTTGCTTATGAACAGTTGTGCTGTTCTTTTCCTGAACTGTAAATAGGAAGTTAAATTTCAGAGGTAGAAAGGATAATTCTGAATAATTTTCCAGTCTGTTTAAATTACCTTACATCTAAAATGGGGGGAAAGTAGTAAATGGGAATGGGTAGTTTTTTATCCAAAGTATTTTTGTTGATATTACTGTGTTTATATCCAATTTTTGTACATACATCATGGGTAGACTCAAAACCATAAAATACAGTGGTCTTTCTCTCCTGGCCTCCTGAATGGACAAGTGCAGTGGCACTGGTGCTCCATGGTCCTTGGTGACCTCTTTCATGCTGTTGTGCCCTCTTGGAAATTCACTTGAGTTTGTGCACCTCATGGTAACAGACTGGTTTTTTGTTTTTTGTTTTAAAACATAAAAGTTTCCTCCGTGAAGCCAGCTCGGGTGTCTTGGTACAGAGACACACATTACAGCATGGTAGTGTGTGTATTCACTGTATTGACTCAACTCCCTGCGCATCAAGGAAGGGTGTTGGCCCACTTAAGTCTTTGCAGAAGAGGAAGTTACCCTTCACTGTCTGCAACAGTTCAGCTTTGTTTCATATTTAATCTCCAGATGAACTGGCCTCTTGCAGTAATTTGTGTGTAACGTGTTAGAATATCATGTTTCCCATGCTGAATACGAGTTAATCAAGCTAAATGCCTATCTAGAGTTATTTCTATGGTATAAATTGTGATCATTATCTAAGACATCAAATCTTGACTTCAAAGTACTTTTATGCAGTCTGATTGCAGATATAGAGTCATTTCTTGAAACACAAGTGTATTATGCCAAATTTTATATCAAATTTTTCAGGTTCACTGGGTGTCCAGGTTTTATAATTAGGAAATACTAAATGACCTTATTCGGGTTCATATTTATATACCTTCTCTCTCAACAGTTAGCCTATCTTACTCACCTTGTGAGTGAGTCTGGAATTGCTTGTCACATAAAATCATTCTAGTCCATGAGTTTACAATATTGCAAAATGTATTATTTCATCTATTCCATTGCTTAATTTGTACGTCATTTTTCCATGAATGATTATATTGTGGTTACTATGTTAGCATGACAGTATTTCGAATAACTTTCTGTTTGTTGGGTGGTTGGGTTTGAGGTTTTTTGTTTTCAGGGTTTTTTTGTTTTTATAAATACTTTGCATGAAATATCTTACTTTATAATGATGGAATTGCTTTTTATTTTTGTCTGGTGTTTTTTTTTTAAGTGAAATTTAATTTTTTGTGCAAGTAGTACTATTATACCCATTTTGAGTGTCTTACTTGTACTGTATCACATTCCATACCTTCATTTAATTCTTAATAAACTGTTCACTTGCTTTTCCGGGTAGCATGGTAATTACTGAAATAGTACTAAATGTGTTGAATGGTCTTGGGGAAAATGGATTGATTACAATAAACCTCATTTGCAGGGAAACAGTGTAGTTCTGAATCTAATGTGACCTAAAGAGTGAAGTTTAAAGTTTGGATTATTGAATGCTGTGATCAATACTTATATATTTTTTTAAGATGAAAAAAGCTGGGGCTGACATGGCAAGCTGGTTAAGCTGCCATTTGCAACCCTCAAAATCAGCATGCTGGCTCCAGTCCCAGTGGCTCCACTTTGAATCCAGTTTCTTGCTAATATACTATGAATACAGTGAGTGTTGGTCTGTGTACTTAGACCCCTCCCAGCCACGTGGGAGAGGAGGAGCTTGGCCTCTTGCCTTCTGTCTGGTCTGTTTCTGGCTGTGGTAACCGTTTTGGGAGTGAGCCAGCGATGAAAGACCTTTGATATTGCTTTCCCTTTCCTTATCCCTCTATCTTTTCTTCCCTGCCACCTTTTCGTTGTTACCTATCTTTAAAATAAATAAATCCTTTTTTTTAAAAAAAAAAAAAGATACAACAATGTATCTCAGATTTCAGTATGCTTGTGTGTGATTAATTCCCTACTTTCCGTGATAAGATAATGTTGATGCAAATAACCTATAAGTCATTTGACTTTAAAATACATTTCAGCAGCTTTATCTTTCTGCTGTATTTAGGATAATATTAAAGTGTTTGCTGCTTCCTAAGCTTGCATGTCAATATGTGATGTGATCCAGTTGTTTGCAGGTTGATGAAACAAAAGAATGTCCAAATAAATTTCCCAAATGTCTTGTGATTAATACTGCTGACTGTGCCTTTACCTACTGTTCTGTTAGACAGCTGGTGTGACAGGGGAAACAGGTAGTGGTACCCATTCTTCACCAAGACACCTGGCAGATTCCTGTGAAGCAAAACCGTGACGCTTTCACTGTTTTATGAATTCCCATACCCTTCCCTTTTCATACTTATTAGGTTAGCACACTCTAAGCCAAAATTCTGAATTTGTTCCTAGAAAGTTCTTGATCACAACAGACTAGCCATGATTATCAGAAACGTCTTTTCTGCTTTATTATTCACTCAACATTTGTCAAACTTGTAATTCAGAGCTCCCAATATAGTCTGCTACTATACTGTGTGATCTGCACACACCATTACCAACCCAAGGGAGTTAAATGCGAAATGTTAGGGGAAAGCTTAGAAACGTATATACCAATTTGATATTGGTGTTGATTTCAGTCTATAATAAATTAGATATTAAGAGAGAAAAAAGTTCACACATAATTCAGAGGTCTTAATATCCTCCTTGTGTATCAGTATATGTTCATGTCCATATGTATGTGTCAGTTTTCAAAAATGTTGGCACAAAAAAATTATTCTTTGTTTTCCCATGGCTTTGTTCAAGATTCTTCATATAGCCCAATGCTTAAGTATAAGCCAAGAACTTCAGATACAATAGCGTGTCCATTATCACTGACCAAAATTGTCCTGTAGATACTGATGGTACTAGTCAAGAGAAAAGTAAAAGTAGTTTTACTTGCAGGTGATTTCTGAAGAACTCCAAGAAAATCAAATGAAAAACCATTTCAAACAATGAGAAAATTTAATAAGCTGGATGGATTTAAATTAGCAAAACCCAATATACTTTCTAGTCATGCTTTAATTATATGGGCATAGGCATTGTGCTTCCAGTGGCTTAGGCTGCCACTTCAGCATGCTTGGCTTGTGTCCCAGCTATACCATGGTGCTGATCCAGGTTCCTGCCTCCCACTATGGGGAAACCCAGATGAAATTCTACCTTCTGCCTGGTAGAAGCCAGGCTGTTGTGGGCAACTGGGGAGTGAACCAGAAGATCAAAGGTAGTGTTTGTTGCTTCTCGGACTTCTGACTAAGATTTGTCTCTCCCTTTCAGATAAATGAATCTCAGTGCTGGGCATGTAAATGGGAGCCTCCACTCCACTGGCAGCTTTTGGCCAGGTGCGGGGGGGGGAGCGGGGAGAAAGTACATCCTAACCTGACTGCTTAAAAGTAGTCAGTGCCATCCTAGCCTGGACTGGGCATGCAAACAGGAACCTCCACTCTACTGGCCACTTTTGGCTGGTGGGAGCGAGGTGCGGCCATCTTAGCTCAGAGTGCCAGTAGTGCCAGGTTTTGCCTGCTGACTGCCCAACAAAAATCTTTGGGGACTTGAGGGTGTGGAATTACTGCCTAGGGACATCCATGGATAAGACCACCATACGTGTAGGTGAGGAATGAATCCTGATTGAATACCAAGGACATTCTACTTGCAAGTAAGCGAGGGAACTGAGACTTAATGGTTTGGAGGGGAGAGATAAGAAGATCTCACCAGCTCACATGGGATTCCTGAGATGGGCTTGTTAGTGTGGAATGTCGCTGACCAGTACAGGCTGGCCCTCTAGAAAGCTAGGGCTGGGTACCTGCCTAGCAGGGCTATATCCCAGTATGTGACCATGTCAGACCAAAGGATGGGGCTCCCCTGCTGGATTACCATTCCCACTGGTGAGCATGAGAGCTAGAATGGTGGTAGACCGGGACTGGCAGGGCTACAACACCTGTTGGCCTCATATGAGCTGGATCAGGGGAAAGTCAGGCTGGGGTTGACTGTTCCTATTGGTGCATGCGTAAGTCAGAATGAGGGTGGGTTGGATGGATTTTGCCACAGCATCAGCTGGCAGATGCATGCACAAGAGCAAATTCTGTCAAGTTAAATTGCAGAAACACCTTGAGAGTGCAAGATCTAGGAGTGGGAGTGGGCCCTGTAGAGAAAGTGGGCACCTGTCTCTTGGGTTGCCACTCCCACTGGTGAGCATGAGAACTAGGACTGGCGCAGGCATGGCTAGACAGAGAGTGGCACCTACCAGCAGGTGTGTGGGCTAGTGAGGCTGGTTGGTTGAAACTAGGCTTCAATGTCCATTGACATGTATGAGAGATGAATGAAATATGGTACAGACTGTACCAGTCTGCTGTACATACTGGCAAGCAGAGGAATCAGTGCAGGGGACAGGCCTGGTGGGAGTTATTGCAGGTCACTCCAACTAGGCTGTCTGTGAAGGCCAAGTGTGTGGTGGGCAGGATTGGGCTGAGCTGCAACATTCAGGGTTTGTGTAAAGGAGAGGACTGGAGACAGAGGTGACCCAGCAATTGCAACTACCAGTGTGTATGACAGACTGTGCCAGACCCTGTACTGGCAAGCACACACAAGAATCAGGTCTGGGATCGCTTCAGATAGTTTCTTCGAGGTCCCCCAACTGAATCACTGAACTCAACTCCTACCATGGAGAGAATTGCAAGTTCCATGGTCTGACTGTGGAGTGCATGTGTCAGAGCTGGGCCTCCTCAATGGCTTAGAGCAGTGGACAGCATATCCAGATGCACATGGAAGATATGGCAGTACACTGGAGCCTGCAGAGTAGAGTGTACCTCGTACTGTAACAGAAAACAGAGGACAGAACAAATTGATCAACTGTTCCACCCAAGTGTTGGCAGTAAATATCTGGACAGAATCTCTAAGGTGGACAGTGTCAGCCAATGGATTCTGGAGAGATTTCAACGTGCTTTGAATGGCAAGATCAGCAGTAATTCAGGACGGTTGAACTATCAAGACTTCTTGAGCTGGACCCTTGGCGCTTTCCCCACATTGCGGGCCCTGTGATGGTGTCAGGTAGCTGTCCTCCATCCCAAGATATGGAGGCAGTTGGGAGGCTGGGTGTGGCTTCTCCCCTTATTTTTCCCTTCCCCCAGATGCAACAAGGAAAAAAAAGAGAATGTGGAAATTATGGTCTCACCCACCTTCCTTTAGCCCTTGACCCTAATCACCCTAATCAACTATATAAAAATCATCAAAATAAAATTATCTTTAAAAAACAAATAAATGGATCTTTTAAGAAGTGATTTTATGTAAGATATAATGGAAGAAATCCCCTCATGACAAAAAAATTGACACTTGAAGATAAACATCAAGAAAATACTAAGACACAAAGTAAGGCTGAAGCAAATGAATGTCATACGTTGTTCTTAGACAAAAAAGATTCAAAACAGTAACGTTTCTGCTTCTACCTAAATTATCATCCCCACTGAGGGACGAAGAAAGAAAGAAATACCAACTAACTTTCAAGTTCATATGGGAAAGTAAATGCTCAAGAGTTCTTATAAAAATTTTCTGAGGACTAATGGGATGCCGGACTGTCTGACTTTGTACCAGCAATGTTGGGGTACACTTAAATAAGATACTGATGGAATTATAATTCTTTATGAAGGATTATACCAATGTAGTAAGATGGGGAAAATCTGTCGGAGGGTGGGAGTTTGGGGGGAAATCCTAGTCCATACAAAATTGTAACACATAATTCAAAAATACAAAATAAAAAAATGTATGTGTGTATGTAAAAAATTATCTGAGGACTGCCTATTTCAGGGGCACTATCATGTATAAAGTGTTTTCAGGCTACTGTTGCTGAATAGTAATACCAGTTACTATACTAGTGGTATACTAGAAGGGAAGAGAGAAATCCCTAGGTGATCTCAAACCCACAGTATGTGATGAAGACAATGGCTATGGACCAAATTTTGTTCCCTCCAAAATGAAGCTCCAGCCCCCACGTGACGATATTTGAAGATGCAGCCTTTGAGAGTGATTAGGTTTAGATGAGGCTGGGAAGGTGGGGGCCATCCCATGTTCCAAGCTCCTGCCCTGTGAGACACCAAGAAGCGACAGTTGTGTGCACATCAGGAAAAGAGCCCTAGCTAAAACCCAGCCTTGCCTGCATGCAGATCTCAGGCCTCCAACCTCCAGAACCATGAGAAAATACATAACAAGTCTCCCTATGGGGAGTATTTTGTTAGGGCATTTTGAGTTAGCTAAGAACGTAAAGTAATATATATATATGAGGGTGGAAAAGAAGATGATGGTGTTGCAATTGGAGAGTCAGCTACACAATAAGATTTAGGTTCTAAATCTAAAAAAAAAAAAGTTAGAACCTAAATCTTATTGCTTACATCAAGATACACTTCAACAGTATTGTAACAAAATGGGAAAAATCTGACAGGGGTGGGAGTTTGGGGGGGGGGAATCCCAGCCTGTACAAAATTGTGCCACAATTCAAAATTCAAAATAAAAATACATTTTAAAAAAAGATACACTTCAATCAAGATACACTTCAAGTCAAATATAGAATGTTAAATGCTCATTGTGACCCTGCACCGCCAGCCTCTGCCTCCCTGCGATAACCATTTCTACTCTGTCTCTGGCTGCTTCTGTTCTGGCTATTCCAGCCTTCTCAGAACACACAAGCATGCTACCCCCTTTACAGAGCCTTTACAGTCACTGTTTCTGGACTAGCCCTGCAGGACCTGCATGGTAGCCTAGTGGCTAAAGTCCTCACACTGCACACACCAGGATTCTGTATGGGCGCTGGTTCGTATCCTGGATGCTCCAGTTCCCATCTGGGATGCTCCAGTTCCCATGCAGCTCCCTGCCTGTGACCTGGAAAAACAGTTGAGGATGGCCTTTGGGGCCACTTGGGGAGTGAAACCACAGATGGAAGATCTTTCTATCTCCTCTCTATAGATCTACCTTTCCAATTAAAAATTATTTTTAAAAATAGAATGTGCTGCACAACTTCCCCATGAGTTACTCTGCATCACTTATGACTGTTCCTTTGTCGCTGTCCCACCTCAGGGAGGCCCGTGTGGAACGTGGACTTTAGCAGCTTATGCACGAAGTTAAGCTCCTGTCCTGATACCTCTTAATTGATTGATTGCTTTTTAAACATGTCTGAG